GCTACCCTACGATCTGCATTATTATTAATGTATTTCTAAGATAAATTAATTTTCTAATTACTATATATATATATATATATATATATATTTATACATACCTTTAGAGATACTCCTTTACCAAAAGTCACATCTCCAGACACTGTTAGATGATCCAATTCTAGCATGTCTGGTATGCTGGCAAATCTACGCAAGAATTCTCGTACCTTACAAGGACAAAATTTATTTCAATATCTTATATTAATTACACAGAGTAATTCTGTTTGAATGATGGTACACCACAATAAAAACAATTACACCTAACTCATCTTCTGAAATTGCTGTATAAAAACTGTACTTCATACAATACGAATATAATTCAGAAGAGTATGACATGTGATGTTACTGCAGTGTTATGTTTACAGTGGTTTTACTTAATTTCTTGATATAGGTTTCAAATAATATCCCACAAAATGTTCTTAAGTATATTTTTTTCCAGATTTTAGAAACAATGACCATATCTAAACTACCTCGGTCTAAACCGACAAATAACAGTGTTGCTAAGTCTCAAAAGAAACATAAGCACTGGCTTTCAAAATTGCTCTTTCATGGTTTACCCTTAAAATGGCAATTTGCACATCTTAATTGAAACAGAACATAGAATGTGTCAATTGAGCAGGCCAGAAAGTTTGTGATTACAGATGTGTTTTTTAACAGAACAGAAGTGGTGATAGGATGATTCTAAGATTGTAATGATGTGTAGGCTGTTCACTGACCCAGTATCCTACAACATTTTACTGAGTATTGAAGTCAGCTATTACATAAAAAACACCAGTAACCCCAGAATCTAACAAGCTAAAAAAACAAAATCTGGACTCTCAAAAGATTAAAGTGACTCGTATAAACATCAACAAAAAACAAGCGCAATTATACTTATTATAAGCAGATGTAGCAGCACAGATTCAGGATAGAAAAAATAAAAATGACACAGAAAATCTAGAACTTAAAACTTCGAAAAGAGAGATCCATCTACATAATATTCAATATTGAGGAGTTATTAAGTACAACAAAAAATTACAAAATAAGAACTGTAGTAATTGTTTGAAAGTTTATTTTCTTCGGGTAAATAAATACTTTGTGTACTTAAAAATGTTTTATGATATGAACATTATGTACAAATGAGTTTAGTTAGCATGAAATTTAAAAGTTCAAAACTTTATAAACCTTATTATCCAAGTCATCAATTTCTTTTGAAAACTGTACATGATAGGTTGCCACTTAAGAATTTTGGTAATTTTCATCATGACTCTGTATAATTTATTTTTTAAAGATCATATTTCAAAACCTTATCAATACCTTGTACAAAATAAACTTTTAAAATTGTTAGTAGATAACACACACACACACACAACAAAAAAAAAAGAAAGAAGAAGAAGAAGAAGAAGACACATAGAGAATATTTTTGGGCATAGATGCTTTTACAGGAGTTAACTATCATAACTTCAAGATTTCTATTTTTATCTGGCAATGTAAATATTGTTGCTTATAATGTCTTTCAGGAATATGATCAATTAGATATTTCTTATGTAATTATACCAAAAAAAAAAACACAAAAAAGGAACATTAATGATACAGTTAGATATTTATTAAGCTAGATAGAAGTTTCTGATACTTTTATTCTAACTGGATGAATACCAATACCAACCTTAGCAAAATGATTATCTCCAAGTTTAACAAGAGGCACAGTAGGAAAGGCTCTACGAGGGCTCATCATCAACGTTCCATTCTTCATGAGGTACAAGTTGCTCATGACAGCCAGCAGATCTGAGGTTTTTTTTACGGGAAGGAAACGCTGACGAGGTACATTGATTCCCATAACATTTGTAAAATCCTTCATAGCTGCACCTGCAGCCGTTTCCAGTTGAATAACGCTCACTCCGGAGTCCAAGTGCTAAGGTAATACAACCATCAAGATAACTTAGTAACCTATTAGTTTCTATGTTAAGTAAATCAAAATTTGTTAGTGGAGAGACTTAGAATTATAAACCCAAAGTCCAAAAATGAATAATGTTGTAGCAGTGCTACCCTAGATCTGCATTATTATAATGTATTTCAAGATAAATTTATTTTCAATTCCTTTATTTAGACATAGAAAAAAACTTTACATTTTGTTTTTAAAAGGGTAAATTGTTTGTTGTTACACAATTCCATCAAGTTTATCACAATATACAAGTTAGGGTGGTTCACATTACACATAAATGAATTGCTAGTGATATGTTTTTTACCTTGTCATTCACAATAATTTCCATGTCTAGTCCACCTTCTTCCACTAAGTTTTGAATACTCTGTAGCCTTATCCATAGGTTATTAGTGTTGAAAATCCTGATATATGTATAAAACTCCATTACTTTTAAGAAAAAAAATAATAATTTGAAGTTATCTAACAAAAAATCTACATAGAGTGAAAGGAAACAGAGCTGCATAAAAAATTAAGAGGTTACAAGTGTAATCAGGTGAAAGAAAGCACCTGTATTTCAAACTAGATATGTCAACAAGAAGATACTCTTTGACAGATTGTTTAGGCAGAGTATTCATGATGAAATTTAGTTAAATGGATGACAACTGTCTGTTGTAGAAACACAAGTGTAGAGGATGACGTAGTCTGTGCCTTTCTTCCTCAGGTCCAGAAGACACCTTTTCATTTAGACTAGCCAAATGTGAAGAATATGGGGAAAAATGCACTCATGATTATCACATTTTCTGTTGTTGGTACTTTTGTATTATAAAGTTGTGATGTTATACTTGGTTTTTAAACAGCTGGTACCAAGTACACAATACACAAGTAGCTTATAAAATCCATTTTTTCATGGTATATTTACATTAGAAATATAAATCTGATATGTTCATGGGTAGAAGAATTTGGTAATGGTGCAAGAAATAATACAAAAATATGTATAATATCAACAGTGTTAAAATAACTTTGTGGTATAAACATACTATGCATTTTCAATTTATTGTAATATTCTTTTTTTTTTTTAATTAATTCTAGGTATATGCAGTTTCCAATAACATGGCCAAGAAAGTTCAAGTTTTTTATCATTCTCTGGAGAAAACACCTGTTCTGACCATAGAAATTTTGGCTGTAGTTCTGCACATTTTGCAAGAATGTAAATAGCAGTATCCTTCAACAGTAGGTCAGGGGATATATTGAGGTTACAATCTCCCTATGTTTGAATGAGAATGACCAGTCACACACGTAGTGCTGGTCACTCTAGACATTATGATATTATCTGTTAAAAAAAAAATAAATGTTAGACTTAGACAACCTGATACACAATCTCAAAAAGGATAGGCAACTTATAATTCAGTTTCATTAAAAGTGACAGTCCAGTGCTCAAGAAAGAACACATACTGTATTTGTGTCTTTGATTTAATAAAGATTATTTGCTATGTTTACATTGTGTCCTGTCCTTCTTTTGTTCTCAAGAACTCAGTTATTCAAAGACATTGAGAATTCTCTGTAATAGATATCTTGTCAAATCTCCTGACAAAAATACAAAACCCGAGTGCCTTTAAAAGGTGAGCCTTTCTTCACCAGAGGCAAATTTGTCAAATCTCCTATTATTCAGTGGACCAAACACATCACTCTGAGGAAAATGATATTGACCTGAAAATTTCATAGTTTTATTATGTCAAAAACCATTCCACTAAACTTCTGGGTGTTTTTGGGCAGATGACTAAATGAACTCTTGATACTGAATACTATCTTGCTAGTAAGAATTTATAATAAACAGTATTTCCATTATAGTGCTATTCATTCACTTTTCTTGCAACTTCATACAGAGAAAGTTGATATGAAATTATTTGATTTTTCTATTGAGAGACCTGAATAGGTGCAAGTTAAAAACGAAATAATAAAAATTAACACTTTCATGTTAGTGCATCTTACATTATTCTTCAGTCCAATAACTTTGTTTAAAATGATTTATTATGCTTTCTTTCAATACAGATGTAAATATTTCATCCAATACTTCAAACTGTTCCAGTTGTAGAGTAGTACGTTCGATTTCTTAAATTATCTTACCAAACTCAAGCTGTTAATGCAATAATAAACATTTCCATGTACTACAGAAGAAAAATATACAATTCTTGTTTCTCTCTATATTTCCATTTCTACCTGGTAAACAGTAATTTAAAACTTAATCAAACCAAAACTCAAACACACATCAAATGCAGATTACATACAAAACCTAGACTCTAGGCCTATAGCTAGAATTTGGAAGCATTTCCACCAAATTCTGAATGAAAAAGTAATTTAAAATGTTCAAGTTCATAACATAAATTTTAGGAAATTTAAATTTCACCAAAAATAAACTTATTTAAGTTCAATAATTTTATATTTTATTGTTTTATCCACAAAATACTTTACAACAAAAATGTGGATCTCATAAGAAAAAAGAAAAAAACTTACTTGAATTTCTTGACACTCTTGAATTCATCAACCTACAACAACATTTTAATAAACTTTAAATTAACATTGAACCCCTTAAAATTAAACTAAATATTTTAATAATTATTACATAAACTATGTTTCAAAATTTGTAGTTTTATCTACAATCCTTTACTTTCTATATTTCTACAGTTTAGTGACTTACTTTTCTTGAACAAATATTGTTTCGAAAAGTAAAAGCTCTTAAGTTTTTTAATGCATCTTAAAACTGTGAGATTATTCTATAAAATAAAGAGATAAAATTTCTTACTTGCAATAGCATAAGCTGCAATCCATAAAGCCTTAGTGACATAAAATGTAAAAACTGTTTTAGAGCAAGGCCACAATTGGCCATCAGTGTTCACTGCAGGCAATCAAACCCTGTATTTTAGTGCTGTAAGTATGTGAACTTACTACTATCCCACCAGGAAACAAAATATGCATACTAATAATTATAACAAACTCAAAATAAAAGAACAACAACAAAAATGATCAGGAGAATGTGTAGTAAAATGTAAGCCATTATCATTTTCTTTTCCTATGTTTCCTTTCTTAATCTATAATTAAATTTGCCTTATTGACTTGCCCCTTTTCAGAGCTTTTACATTTACTATTGTACTTATAAATTTCAGTACACTTAAATAACTAGAGTTTGGTGCATTTATTTATCCAAGATTTATGTTGTCTGGGACATATTGTATATCACAAGATTTAATATGTTCAGTAAAAAATAAACAAACAGGCTTGGCCACTTTTAGAAATGGTATTACATAAACAGTATTAAAAATAAAATTGAAGAATGTAATTATTTTCTAATTTACAGTTTTGTTAATAGTTTAAAAAATATCAAAGAAAACATTTTTATCATGTAATTTTGTTTGTTTGAAGTTAGGAAACAAAGTTACACAATGAGCTATCTGTGCTCTGTCCACCATGGGTATCAAAACCCAGTTTCTAGCGTCGTAAGTCCGCAGACATACCATTGCGCCACTGGGGGACTTCTCATACAAAACCTTTCTAGTAACCAAATACTATTATATTTGGGGAAAAAATTCATTTACCAATACAAATCAATTCCATAGCATTATGTATAATACATTTATTTCAATCTTTATTTTGTTTCTACAGGCTTTTGGGAAGCCTCTTTCAAGTGGAACAATTTTCTCTTTACGAAACTCCTTCAAGTAAAAATTCATTTCTTTGCAGACAAAGCAGAGCTCACTATCATGAAGTGTATATCAATAAATTATACTATTCCTACCCTTAGCAACACTAGTAATCCAGTTAACTCTAAAATGCTCAGGTGTGTCAATTCAACACACCTGTCATATGGTTTGTTTTATTGTGTTCAAAAAACAAAAGTTGGATAACTCTGTTTGAAACTTCAGAAGAACTTTCTGCAGTTTATGTAGTTTCAGCAAAATATCTTATCTTTATATGTGGTATCATGAATACTCAGGTCTAGAAATTTGATATTTCTTTGTAAAATGTTTTACATTTAAGAAACAAAAATGCAGATTTCAATGATAGGTTTTTATATCTTCAAATACTCTTGTACAGCTTTCTAATAGTTTATTTTATCAACTCTTAAATTTTGCTTTGTTTTGAGTTAAAATATACTGTTTGCACTTTCAATTTTTTATGATCTGATGAACAATAAAAATAACTTATTTATCAAGTTTGCTTTAACTATTAATCTGAAGGTTTCATTGAATATACTGAATAAGTTTTAAATCTGTTCAACTTAAAATATATTTTTCTATTCTACTTCAATATCATAATTCAAATGAAGGATAAAATGATGATGCAAGATATGCAAGAAAAAATCAGTTGTAACTGTGATGGAAGTTGTTCATAAACATCTTTTCTTCTAGCAACATACACCAACTTTGCTCCAACCTCTACACCATCTGCTGAACTGGAAGCTAATCCAGCTTATACAGTATAAAATAACCAAAAAATAAAGACGTTAATTATGTGTTTAGGTAACAAGTCTATGATTTTTTAAAGCTGGGGTAGGGACTATTTACATAAAATCATAACTGAGGTTGAGATACAGTGACTAATTAAAATCAACAAAATTACATGTGTTGAAGTTACAAGTTTCAAATTGGTGCCATTTTGTTCAAAACTATTCTGACTTTCCTCCTAGGAAATTGTATATATAAAATTAGACAATATCTTACTAACTATATTTAAACTCTGAATCATTAAAAATGTGTTGTAGTATAATTACATGTTTGTTTTCCATATTTTTTTAATTTAATGGTGTAATTGTGCCCTTGGGGTAGGTGTTACATTCAACCAGGTGTCATAGTTAATTTTCTAGCAAGTTTTAACCATTGTGTTTGCAAGAACTACACATTATTGTCTTAGAGCAATATGAATTAGCTAGAAGATGAAAGATAAGTGTTTATTTCTTAAATAGTTAGCTAATCCAGTTTTGGAGGTGGAACTTTGTTTTTTAGAAGTATTAAAAATGGCATAACTAAACCCAATGGTTTAGAGGATAATTTTTGTACAAAAGATGTTTCACGGTTGTCTGTTATAAAACTTTTCAGTGCATATATAATGCCTAAAATATATTTTAAAAAAACATCATCAGATTTAAGAATAATCTAAGTGAAAATATTCTAAATTTAATAGTTCAAATAAAATACTTAAATGTCTTTGAGAAGAATAGAAACAATTAGCATTATTTCATTTTCCAATTAGTTCACACACTCAGTATCTAAATAAACACTAGAAAGCAAGTAATCATTAAACCTGCTAGCTTACGTTTTCTTTTGGAACTTGGGCAATTTCCAGTAATCTGAGTTTCCCTTCATATTGTGTCAATGTACCACCCTGTAACAGAAGTGTGCATAAGTTATACTGGTTGAGACAAACAGATACATAGCAAAAAATTAAATAACATTCTATAGAACAGGTGCTCCTGTAATTCTAACACCACCAGATGTCACATCTGAAGATGTTTAAAGTTAGACTTGATGCAATTTTCCAGAATGCATGCTTAAGGAGCCAAGAAACTGTAGATACATGATACTGTATTTATTTCTCTAAAACAAACACTTAATGTTTCTGAGCTTCTAAGAATCTTATTAGTGAGTAAACTGTTGAAAACAACAAAAATTGATTTATGTTATTAATCATTTAGAAAAGCTTGAACAAATGTTGTTGCATAGTCCTTTCCAATTCAATAAATTATCTATTTCTACAATTGTTTCAGTTAATATTTTCAAATTTTCAACATCCCTACAACTCTTGAAAATTGCTATATTTGTACAATATGCATAGTAACATTACATTCTTCATCCATTAAACATTATTACTTTTCATGTGACATGTGCATTTTCTTTTTGTATGTAAAATATGTAACTCATGTTAATAACAAGGTCATTATTTGTTCCTTTTAATTTATTAAACACATTTTATACAAAAAATAAGAATGTTCTTTTTCTTCTTTATTCACATGTTAATACAGTGGTTCCCAAACTTTTTTCACTGATGACACCCTAACCAATTTACCTTGATTTGAGTGACACCCCTGCAGTCACATGCAATATTTTTTTTTTTTCTGTTCTTAATTATTCTTTGTTTGGTGAAACTCACGCGACACTCCTAAAACTTACCCCAACACACAGTTTGGAAACTAATGCCTTAATACATGTATTAAAAGTGTTCCATTAACTTATATCTAAGTACATGACTGATATTTCTATTAGATTATCTTAAATATAATCAAATTGCTTTTGCAATGATGTATCACTTAAACTAATGTCTTCTAATGAGACTTTCTTATCTATATACACAAGAAACTCTTGCTTGTATCACTAACAGTCATACTTAAATAATATCCTTGTGAATATTGCATTTAGAGTATGTTTTTATGTTAGTTTCTTAGAATTGTACAAACCATATAAAAAGTATCTAAGCATGAACAGCTAACAAAAGTAAACAAATAAAATCTACAAGTTTGATGCAATTATTCACTAGGTACATGTGTTCAGAAAGAAATTTTATTTCCTTTAGCCAATCATGTTAAGTTCCAACACAGAAATATATATTAATGTTGTTGAAATTATTAGCAATCACACAACACTTCTCAACATAATCCTTGATGTATTTTCCTCCACCATTTCATAAGCTGCATCATACCAGTTTCATAACACACTTGTGTTATGATACAAAATCCAGCTGTGCATAAGAGCATTAGTTATCTGGTAGATCATTGTCCACATAGTTAGTTGTCCTCAAGATGAAAAAAAGATGGGATTCAGGAGGTGCTATGTCAGAACTATATGCTGGATGGAAAGAGACTCTTTGTTTGTTTTATTTTTTAATTTCGTGCAAAGATACACAAGGGCTATCAGCGCTAGTCATCACCACCCACCGCCAACTCTTGGGCTACTCTTTTACCAACGAATAGTGGGATTGACCATCACATTATAATGCCCCCACAGCTGAAAGGGGAGAGCATGTTTGGTGGGATGGGGATTTGAACCTGTGACCTGCAGATTGCGAGTTGAGCTCCCTAACCACCTGGCCATGCCAGGCCTGAGACTGCTTGTCCATTTGTAACGGTTACTCAATAAGTAATATAACACCTGGTGTTATCATGTTATAAAGAATATCTATCAACAGAGGAATAATGACCTATTAAAACAGACATTTATTGGCCACAATTTACTTAGATCTAATAAGTAGGAAGGGAAATCTTTCCTTCTGAGCACATCATGTAATTGTAATTAATCTACTTTACCTATTATTGCAGTTTATAGATCATTAAAAAAAAACTTTTAATAACTTAATAGATTATTTTTAGATGAAATTTTAAACAAAAATCACAACACATTATGAAGAGAACTCACCTTCACATCAGCAATAGTTTTGTCTGTTACTTCCATTACAAATTCTGGTTTTAGTCCATTAATATCCGTTATCATGGTGTTTAATATATCTGTGAGTTATCAAGGTTAAACAACAACTGTAAAATACTTTTTCAATAATAATTTCCAGGAAAAATCTTTAAAATAAAATACATCATAAGAAGAATATTTTACTTGTAATTTGTTACAAGAACCTGCAAAACACTAATGGTGTTTCTCTCAGCATCTCCTATTGTTATATCAGTATAGAAAGTTACATCTATAAAAAAAAAAAGGAATTATTTATTTCATAAATAGTGACAAATGGACATCACCTACTAGACATTAAATGTAAATTGAGTTGTCTCAATATAGTTATAAATCTTCAAGCAAAACATACAGATGGAAGGATTGTGCTGTTTGAGGAATTTTGAAATCAAATGGATTCAAAATATATACAGAAATAAAAGATATGTATGGTGCTAAAATAAGCAACAGAACTATTCAAGAGTAGTTGTAAAAAAGTAGTCTGTATTGAAGTTTCAGCCCAAAAGTCTAACATTTCATGGGTGAATACTAGAATGTTCCAAATATACAGCAATTACAAAAAGTTGTTCAAAGGTATGTTCCCTGTACATTTTCCCATTCCACTACTCGTTTTATTAAAACATGTTCATTTTTAGCCCAATTGAAGATGCCACTTACACTAAAATCTATCAAAATTACTGCACTCAACAGCTACCTATGGTACCTAACAGACAAAGTCACACCTTTTGATCTCTTCTCTAATTTGTTGTCAGAATCTGAGAAGCAAATTGCTTGTCATCTGATCAAGGTGAAGGACAAAAAAAACACTAGAAAAAACGACTACCGATTTTTTCAGTTAGCTTCATCGACTAAATTGGAATCTTTGGTTGGTAAAAAATCATGGCTCCTATTCAACCTTCTTGATATTGACATTGACTGGTTTCACTTGCCACCAACACAATGGGCTACTGATGGTGATTTCCAGGAAGCTGCCAGATTTGTTCCCCATGTCCAAGTGGTAAATAATCTTTCTGAAAGAGCAGTCAAGCTCATCACAGACTTAGCAAACACCATAATGAAAGATGAAGAGAAAAGGCAGTTCATGCTGGAAATAGTCAAAAAACACCATCACAATGACCCAGATTTCAAAACAAAACTCTCAAAAATATTTAAATTGTTGTTATATATATGTATATAGGAAATATTGTATCAATTGAAATAATTCCTTTCCTAGTGGCAAGGCTTTAAATGTTATCTTTCAGACATCGAACATGACTCTAGTCACTTAAGATGATCAACATAATGGAAAAATGCCCAGAGTGTGTGTATTTTTTAACTTTGTAAAATATTAATGCTTGACTGTATTTACTTGGGTGCTCCAAAAAATTAAAAGGACCAAAAACAGTGAAATACTAAAAGAAACAAAGAGTTATATACTGACAAAACAAAGAGCAAACTTTCTAGAAACTCTAAGAAATGTTTTGTGAAAAACCATTACCAAAAAAAATTAATGCAAGTGTGTTGGTAAACAAATTATTCAAATATGGTAGTGGGTCTATAATGGTGTGGGAAATTGTTCTTCAAGTGTGAGAGCTACTGTTAAATTTGATATGAAGGGGGAAAAAAGGAGGAGTACAAGGTCCTATTTTGTCAGGTTATACCCAGTAGATAACTTTCCAAAACATACTGCCCAATTGAATGTGAAGTATTTGGAAAAGAAGGAAAAGGCTGATATAAAAGTTGTCAAATGCCCAACTAGTCCTAATAAACAAATTGAAAATTTGTGACACCAGCTGAAAAATCATGTTGCAAAAACAGAGGATATACATATATAACTAATCCATTACAACTCTGAGGAACTGTACAGTAAAACAGGAAAAAAATACCAACTCAACAGTCTAAAAAAAAAACTGGTAGCATCCTTACCTGAATGTGGTCAGAGAGTTATGGCTAGAGGAAGACTTACTAAACACCTATTACATGTAATTTGAAACACTTTTCTTATGCTACCATTCATGAAAACTTGAGTTTTTAACTTGGACTCAACCCCAGAGCTGAATTAATAATTAGCTCTTGTGAACTATAATAGGAATACATTGGATAAGACTGCCAATAGTCTCTCAGTAACAGAATTAATAATTTCATGACCAAAAGAAGATTTTATAACCATTTTCTTTCAATATTACTCAAAACATTTTACTGCTTAGAAACTTCACATTTAAAAGTAAGGATACTGAGGTCGACTGTAGCTCCAAGATTGTCAATATTAGAAACAAAACAAACTTCTTTTCCTTGCTGGAGAAACTCTTGAAGTAATCCAGAATTCTGAAAAGATTCATAAAAGTCCCCGTGGCCTGGTGGATACCAGCTGTAATGAGACAGAAAGAAGATTAAACTCAAACAATTTGTAAGTACTCTCAAACTGCTAATTAACTCTCTCTCTCGCTACAGTCTCAGTTAATTCGACTTAAATCTTGACCCCAAATTGACCTTTAGAGTTTCTGTACAATACATTAATACATTTTGTTTATCTTCATGAAATTTTGCAAGTATTTGGTAGCCGTTATAAGTCATTTATAACAAAAAATCATAATTTTTAATGAAGTACTTTTACTAAACATTTCTTTGTGAATATATGAAGTCAAAGTGTTGACTGCTCTAAGTGCAAATTGATTTTCATGTTAAGATTAAAAATACTTTTTTTCATCCAAAAATTATCCAATTTCTTTTGCATAATCTCTAAAACTTCCTAAATAAATTTCAAACATTCTCAGTTGAACTTTATATATTACCTGTTATTTTCTCTACCCTAACTCTAAACATGGTCAGTCAATTTGACCAATCTCATAACCATCATAAAAAAATTATGAAATAAATCTAAATTACCCATTTTTCTTTCTAGAATGACTCAATTTATAACATGAAACTAGATTTGTTTATCCTAAATAGCTCAAAGCTAGTAACATTAAAGATATGTTTCTACTTAAATTCTATTGCCTCTTGAAACATGCCACACAAGTTATAAATCACTCAGTGAGTATGTAGCTCATGTTATCCTAACAAATTATTTAATGCACAAGCTACTCGTGAACATTTTTTATTATGATTATTTTTCTAACCTAACTTTATATAACCTAATTAGTTTCTAATTTTTTAAATTGTAGCTACTTGTATAATAATAAATAAATAATATACATGAAAAACAATAAAAATACTACTTCCCTGGGTCATCCTTTTCTTGCTGACAATGAAATTTAAACCTACCTTTGTTTTTAATATATTAATGATACTACCACACTAAATAATTTTCAAATTAAATAATTGCATAACCAGACATGAGACATTAAATATACAGCTAAGCTTGCCAGTTTGTTTCCCATAAAGTTTGAAATGGAAGTGAAATAGACAATTCTCTGTACAGGAAAAAAATGTGATATAATATGTCATTTGATAGATTAAAACTTTGGCTTTTTATTGGTTATAAATAAACATCTGATGGAACTACTGACAACTTGTGAAAGAGAGGATGTGACAGGTAAGCATGGCTCTGACCAAGTATAACTGAAGGCTATAAGAATTATACTTTGCCCGAGTAATAACAATTTCCATACTTCTTGGAGGGGGTGATAAATAAATTTGAGAAGAGGAGAAACCTAGAGAGCAAATGTCCCAATTCTCATAGTAGAGTGAGGTTCAAGATTTTAACTATTTAGTTATACAATTAATAATTTAAAACTCATATTAAAATTTTGTTTGGTTACAGAGCTATCAAATAGAAAATCAAACACTTCCAGCCACACCCACTTGTCACATCCTCTCTTTCAGGATTTTTTAATAGTTCTCTCTTAAGTTTAATTATATATTACCTATAACCAATAGATTGTCAAGGTTTTCAACTATCAAATGGTGTATTGTACAACATTATGTTCTGAATGGTTAAATGTCAATTTCACTCAGAGTATCAACATCGTTCCTGTGAGAAAGTTAACGACTAGCTTGGATGAATTTGTAACAACTCTTGTCGCATAGTTAGAAAGCCAGAAAAATTTTAAGATGTAAGGGAATTGGTCTAATTTTTGCACGATATTAGTCTATATTCTTTGGTGCATTATTTAATTAAATAAAAATGATTAAGTAGCATTACTATCATTAGTATATAATAATTAGGGTTATCTCTTTTTAACAATCGACAGCAAAAAAAGGATTGGTTAAGTATTTTATTTCTTGTTTTCCATGTTTATTCTTTCTTTATTATTCTGAAAGTAACTAAAATGTAAAAATAGAGATCCTTTTATGATAAAGTTTAGATTAGGTAAAATAAATAACAATATTAATATTATAATAAAAATTTGTCATAAGGCACACACACGAGCAGCTTGGAGTAGCTAGCGGGTAATGTAATTCCTTAGAGCAACGTGAGCTGCACGTTCCCCGAGTGATTTACACCTTATAATAGTGTGAATTGTAGTTAGACATGGTTATAAGGGCAATAAAACATTAAAATTTAATGAATACAAAGAGGTCACATGGTCAGTCAAATTGACTGAGCCTGTGTAGAGAGAGTTAACTACATTTTTATGTTAAGTTAATTCATATATCATGATAATAAATTAGTTTAATTAAATTTTGAACGTAACTCTCTAAAAAAGTCATGATATGTTCACTTTGATATGCATGTAATAAGAGGGTTAACTCATCACTGAGATGTGATCGTTTTACAAAAAGAAAAAATTAGGTTTCTTAAATGAATGTATAAATGCACCTTTTCAACAGTTCCTGTGGTTTCTTAGTTTATATAAATTTTATTTTTAGGATTAGTACAAGCTCTACTAGTGTTTTCTAACAAAATTACCAACTTTTACTCACTTGTTTTGCTATTGCCTGTTTATATACAATATTAAAAATTGTTCATTATCACTACACATTTCTAGTACTGATGAGAAAGTTCTTTATGACAATTACATGCTTTTAAGATATCAATAAATTTAATTTTTTTCAAATACAGAAAGATTATCTTACAGATAACTATACGAAAAAAGTTTGAAAATGAAATCTAATCAAACAATACATCAACAATAGAATTATTACTTACGCCTCAGAGTCACCATTTCCAATAGATGTAGGAACAGGTAGCATGCTTTCTCGGTTGACGCGTGGATACCTTGGTATAATAAAAAATTATTAAACAACAAAAGAAAACAACTTTTCAAATCCATATGAAATCATGGCCTTAGGACAGAAATCATAAGTACAAAATGAAAATACAAGTACTGTGGAAGGAAACAGAAAAGTTTGCCACTGACAGTGCTAAATTTAAACTCATCTAAACTTTTTACATTACCTGCTCTGCATGAACGTATAAATCTTTATTTTAAAACCTCGATACTTCTTTAAGATTTTCTGGGTATCTTCATCTGTATTAAAAGAGTTCATCAGGACTAAAGGTACATCAACATGATAGGTTTTATTCAAATGCTAGAAGAAATAAAAGATGAATAATATTTATCAATCTTCCTTGTCATGAGATTCATAAATGTAAAATATATGAAACAATGGAAGCTTTTCCAAAACCCACCTCTATCTGCTGTACAGTAAGGTCCAAAAATGTGAGGTCACTACGAACAGGAATAACAGATTTTGGTCCTGTACAACCCATGCTTGTTCCCAAACCTCCATTAAGTTTCACAACCACTAACTTGTCCAGCAACGACTTGATTTTCTCTTCCGCTGGCTTAGGAAGACTGTCATATTCTTTGACCTACATTAAATACAAAATAACAGAATTATTATATACTGTAGCAAGCTGCAACCTTGATACATAATAATGGCTAATCTAGATATATTTTCTTGTTATACATTCACATATTTCTATTCTTAATAACACTATCAAATACAATTATGCTAAAATTAACCACTTTACAATATTTTTTATTATTATGTTATAATATCTGCACACACACAAGTCTAAAACTGCAAACAATAATAATTTTTTTTTTGACAGTTCTAATTCTTATTGTATATTAACAACATATAATTATCTTTTAAGATATTGTACTTCAAAGAAATGAATTTCTTGTGAGAAATCCTGAAAAAGTTAGGTGTACAAAAAGGAAAATCAGAAAAATGCAGATTAATAAGATATAACAGTTTACACATATTGCTTAAAACATTTTTGTTAACTTTAACAGCCAGTTCATGAGGAAAGGCACCCACGCTGGTCAGACTAACAATATGTTTCCCACTCAATAACAAGGGATAATATATTCTTTCTAAGTAGAAACCCATTTATATATAGAAAATTAGTTGCACTATTACCATGTTACAGCACCATTATCATGGCTTGTGCAAGCATAAAAAAAAAGAGAGAGTAGATTTTGGTTAATCTTCTTTCATGTCATTATGTGCATGTATTTTTATCAAAAGTGTATTAGTGGCTTTAAGGAAGGGATACAAGATGTGTATGAAAAACATGAACTACATGGAAATACCATGGCCATTAACCTATAAATGCATGCTCACAGAAACCTAGATGTCACAGCAAATAGGAATACTGACTTGGCAAGTGTAGTTGACATTAACTTTGAAGATACGAGCAAGTTTACACTCGGATGGGATAGACATCCAAAATGTTGTGTTCAGTATAATGCAAAAACTATGTCTTTATAACGATGAAATCAAAACATTTATGGAATGTGGTGTAGCTTTGTTTAACCCTACAAATACAGACTGGGTGGAATCCACCCAGCTCATAACCACAAATGTATCTATGAGAGTAATTATACTATAATTTTTGATAATGTATATGTATCTTCTCACATTTTTTGCAGGTTATTGGTAAACATTACAAGGCTTTTGTACACAAAATATCAGGTATTTAAATGAAGTATTAAGATTTTTAATTACAGATTTTCTCGTAACATTTTTTCTTTCAAGAATGTTAACTATCCAAAATGCAAAGTACAATAATGAAGAAAGAAAACAAATGAAAAATAAATAACCATGTAATTAAATATCAAACACTCTTTTCATGAAAACTTTATATTCTATTTGTTATTTCCTCTACTGTAACATTCTACTTGATTCTACAGGTTGTATACCAAAAATAAAGGTTGCAATGTGCAAAATAAAATGTATAGTATTGTTATCTTGATTGCAAAATTTCAAAGAGTTTATACTTCTCACATTTTCATACTTATTTTCTGTAGTAATTTTATTGTTAGGAACTGACTTAGAAACTAGAGGAAACAAAATGAATAGTACTGTCTGTCTTTTATTGGTAGGGATCACTAAGTTACAAAGTAAAATTCCTCAGAATTTCTTCTAATCTTTTCACACCTATTTCCTATGTTTATCTACTGTTAGTAGCTGAAGTAAAACCTGACGATTATAAAGCAATGAATCGCCACTCCTTACTTAGTTTGACACCATCAATATCAAATAAGCTCATGCTGCACAATACCCAGAACTTTCCCTGCTTTGAAAACACAGTGGGGTACAATTTATCAACATGATGACAGTATAATAGTTTCAATTGTCTAAAGTATTATAAAATGTTTATGATATGGCTCTGTACGAAGTTGCATCCAATCCAATAAACTTGTTAAGTATTTGGATTCTAGTTATCCTCTTGGATGTATCATACAGAATTTATTTGAATCCCCACTCCAAGAACACAGTGGAGTAGAATTTGCCGGCTTCTTTACAGTACAGTGGTCGTGACAAGAATTTTCTAATGTACTTTATAAAAGTGAGTTAAAATATTTATGACATGACTCTGTACAAAGTAAAGTTGTATCTGATCCAATAAACTTAAGTATATATTTAAGTGTTTAATCTTCTTTGCTACATCCTACTTCGGTGTTTACCAACTATTACATACAGGTAAATAAACATTATAATATACATACACTGAATCTCTGTTCAATAGTTAGTGTATAGTTGTTAACAAAATCTAGTGTAGCTATTTCTGTATTTTAGCATAACATGTATATATGGTGAAACCTGTTATACACACAAGAGAATGTATATACACGTAAGGAAAAAGTATACATCACAGAATACATGTAATCTAGATATGTAATAAAATACAAAAGCAATGTGATGATATACAATGTGTAACATAAGTATAATGATACACAATAAAAAACGTGTAATAAAGCCTTATATTTTTTCCTTCTAGAAATAGAATCTGAACTTAAAGAAAAAACTGAATAAGAAGAAGGTCCTAACACGGGAGTAAATTGAATTCCTCCTAAACATTTCATTTTCTTCTGATGAAGGAGGCCTGTCAGAGGCATCTGAAGTTGAAGAAGTTGATTCTTCTCTTGCAATGCCTCTGTCAAAGTTCTTCATAAAAGCCAATGGCCAAAAAATACCGAACCAGCTCTTCTTGATTCTGTCCTGTGGACAGATGAGGATGTAGCTAGTGAAAGATTGCTACAGGAAGATGGTCCTGAAGATCCACCAAAAAGAGTCAGGAGAGGGAGAGCTAGAGCCTCTACTGGAGCTGTTCTTTCTCAGCAGGAGAGGCCTCTCTCCTGTAGTGATGCACGGAGATGAACAAAAATTGTTGAAGAACAATCTACATCTATCAGAGGTGAACCTATTTCCCAAAAAGTAGCTTCTGTGAAAGATTTAGTTGATTTTTTTTAAAATTCTTTTTTACAATAGAAATGATACAATTTATCATCAATGAGACAAATAGGTATGCTAGTAACAATGAAACTGTAGTTTTCAAAAAACTGTGAAATGGACTAATGTTAATATTTTAGACATTTTAGCCTACTTTGGTCTCACTATAGCTATGGGTCTCAAGCCTCTTCCTTCTCTTTCTGACTACTGGTCTTCCTATCCTCTTTTTCATACTCTTGGGTTTACTAATATCTTATCTAGGGACAGGTTTTTTTTGTTATTTATAGATAGTTGTATTTCAATAACAATCTAATTCTCTACTTAAAATTGCTCCTAACTTTGTTTCCTACTATTCTCCTAACAGAGAACTATCTATATATGAGCAAATGTTAGGTACAAAATGTAGAATTGGTTTCCTTCAGTACAGACCCAAGAAACCTATCAAGCGGGGTATCAAGTTGCAGGTCCTGGCAGAAGCTGCAAGTGGATACTGTCTTAAATTTAAAATCAACACAGGCATAGAGGGACAAATGCCAGCTAGGAGTCTTGCAAACAACCTTGTGATGGAACTGATGGAAAAATAAAAAAGACTAAGACAATGGGTTTTCATGAACAATTTTTACACTTCCCCTCCTTTATTTGACAAATTATTGTCTGTTGGAACCTATGCTTGTGGGACATGCAGGAAAGACAGATTCTATTTCCCACAGGAACTAGCAGCTACAAACTTAACCAAGGGAGAAGCATAATTTCTTAAATGTGAAACTTTGATAACTGTTTTCATTGATCTATACACTTTTGTATGTAAAGTAATAATGTTCCTTTCATGTGTTCTTTAAGTTTGTACAACTTTTCATTATTTCATACAGTTTGTATGTACATTGTTTTCCATACATGTGATTACTTTTTGTTTGAATGTATAATAATATGTTCTAAAACTTCTCCATTTTCTTCTTATTTTGTAATATTGGTTTTGTATTGAAACATTTTTATAGAAATTTTCCTTGATCTATACACTTATGTAAAGATGTTCCTTTTCAAATGTTAATATCAGTTTATCAGTGATAAATATATTTCACTTACTTTTTCAAATTAAATAAATATACCTTTCCTGAATTACCAAGTCTTTACTTTTGTATAATTTGTTTTTATTCTACTTCAATATAAATGAGTAGAAAAATAACACAAGTTCTTACTGTGTTAAATATAGAAACATATTGGCTACCATATATTACATATGTATGTATATTATTAATATTTTCAAATAAATACTCAAATGTCAGTTACTTTTCTTCATACATAGAACAGTAAATAAAAAATATTTAAAAGACAATGATCTCTACTACCTACGATGCTACAAAGTCCTTGTTTGCACTCGTGAGCCATACTCACTAAGCCTTGTCCAAATTCACAGGTGAAGATGGAAAAATAATAACTTTTGTAGACTATATAAGCATCTTAGAATACATAAAAAAAAAGATAAATTACTATATTGATACCCCAAAAATCTACTGTAATTTATCAGGCTTCCTAAAAAAATTGTATTTGAGTCTAAAAAATATAGTTTCTATTCACAAAATAGCCTTAATCGTAATACTTAAAATTTTCCAATGATATAAGAGCTTTTCCCTCTTATATAACTTAGGAAGAGTGACAGAATTATGTAGAACAAATGTATAGCTTTCAACTGGTTATAAAATTATTGATATATAAAAGTAGATGTAGATAAACAAGTCTTCTCAAATGATGAAGTGGTGGGCAGAGCCAATATGGTGGATTCGCTAAATATCATAATATCTCAGTAAATAAAAATGGTAGGAGGTTCTCATTTTATATTCTAGCTTACCAATATTGGAAGTTAACTTTTTCCTAAATTGAAAATGCATTTCCAATAATACTTACTTCTACTGACACTTATAGCTATTACTCGACTGCCATCATGGTTTCTTCTTTGTCCATCTAAGCATTAGTCTGATTTTTTCATGCTTGCTCTTTTTATATCCCACTCAATAGCTCTTAGCAATAATTGTCTTTTGATATTCTCCACTTATGTCAATGCACCCTCTATCCTGGCACTGTATACAAGAACCTCATTCAGAGAATTTTATCACTATTTCAAAACTGATACCATTCCAGTCTTTAACACTGGATCTTAGTGGGGAGGAAGGGTGGGAGAGTGTCAGCTGAGGTAATTATTATTGAAAATACATTTTCTGTTTAAGAAAATGTTAACTTCCAAAACAATCTTACCTCCGCTGCCACTTATAGCTAGAATCCCATAATGAGAAGGTGGAGGGGCTGGTGAGGGCATTATCCATACAGAAAGCACCTGTATAGATCAAGGGTGTACCAAGATAAGAGTGGTATCCAAGTGGGGGAACTGCACTACATCCAGAACAGGTATGCTCTTCACCCTGAACTTAGTTCCTGTATCAAGGATGGATTTGTATATGACTGATCATCACTACAAACCAGCTCCAACCAGATAGCCGAGGATCCACTACTCGGAGTTGGAATTAAGGGGGTCTTATTGCCTATGTCCGACACTGGCGGCTAGAGCAATTGAACTGCAACATTATATGTATAGATATACTTTTGATTGGATCACAACCTAAAGTCCTAGAGTGATGCATTCTCAACCACAGGAATCACAAGAAGAAAGTAAGCAACACTGAAGCGGACAAACCTTCTCCTCCACCTGAAGAAGCCTGAAACGACGGGATCTTATATGCCTTACTCAACCAAAGGAGCAGAACTCATCCACTCTGAAATTATGAAAATTAATCCTCACTCCCCAATCAATGGAGCAAGGAGCCTTCTACTTGCCCCTAGAATTATGGGGAGAATGTGGAACATTTGTACTCAACCAAGGAATCAGGATGGGACCACACTGCATTTGGAATTATGAGTAGATAGTGGACCCCTTCCATGAACAATATACTGACCTGATATTGATCAAAAAGAAGGGCCATGCACACCCCAACCAGATAGCCGAGCATCAAATCTGAACTGGCATTACGAGTAGGCTCCTGCATAGGCAGGTGCAGCTCCTACCAACATCTGGGAAGAACATCTAGGGATCCGGGTAGGAGGGCTCTCAATTTCACTCTCTTCTCCAATAGTGGAAGAATTCAGTCTAACATTCTGGAGGAAAAGCCTCTGTCCACCATAACAGTAACTGGAAACTGGCTGTGGTAAGGACTCCCTAGCTCCATTAGTAAAATCTGGGGGATAATATGCATTGGGGAATCCTGAAGAACAGTGCAATAGGCAAGTCAAATTTTCTAAATTTTTAAAGGCCAACTGAACCCAAGTTATTCAATCTGATGATCAGCAAGGATGGGCAGGATCCCCTTTAGCTTTACTTATGACAGTCCTTAAGTGGCAGGCCAGCAGTGTATGGTAAGACCACCTGGTGAGCTCTTAGGTGGTCTTATGGAACACCTCATTTCTACAGAGCCTGAGTAGTAATTACAGTGAAATAGTGGTTGCTAGTGCAGAATTGGGTTGATAAAAGCACACCTGTCTGGGCAACACTCGCCACAGAGTGGGATCCTGTGAAAACGAGGTTAGGGACTCTGAAAGGTAGAAATAAAAATACTCACTCTGGATAATCTAGCAGAAATAGTTAAGATAGCTACAGTGGGTAGGCAAAAACTCTCATATGAAGAGACTGCCAGATCAAGCAAATAATGTGAGATAAAGGTGTTGGGGCAGGTCCACATACCAGTCCACACAATGACCCCCAGGAGGCAATTCGACCGAGCTGCTAAGGGCAAAGAAAAGAGAAATCTGCTTAGATGTGACTCACAAAAGATATCTCACCTTCAAAGACAGCCCAGAATAAAGTGTTGTCTAGTATCTCTAAAGGTATAAGGGTGAGCAACAAAACCTTCAAGACCCTCACTGAATATGAACAAGATCAAAATCTGATTGGACACAGAAAGAAAGAGTGAGCAGAAGAATCAGAAAAAAAGATTGAATCCCTTTCCCGTCTGACAGAATGTTGGGTAAAAGGAACTGGTCTGAGAATGAAGAGAATGAGTAAGTGGTCTGTGGACAAACAGTGCAAATCACTCTGACCTGTGATGTCCATAGGTCAACAGCCACGAAAAATAAACCTGCAGGTAAAGGAGATACATGGCATATAAGAGTCAGGTCACAAACGAATGTAGAGAGAGAGAGAGAACACATAATCTTAATCTACCTCTTAGACAACTGTAATGATCACCCCAGCATCTATTGCCAAGGCCCAAATATGAGATACTGGAGACCAAATTGCCAGTAGTTGGGTGATCCAATGAGAGGCCAACCTGGCAAATTGAGTTGCAAAATGAGAGACAATTCAACTGAATCTTGTGATGCAACATCTATTCTGTCAAGAGAATCTGTTTGGTTTCAGACAATGGACCTGCTCCCACAGGTATCACCCATGGAACATGGCAATTTAGAAGGGTGATAAGATAAGACTAGTTCCAAGAAAAGAGGTCCAAAATTCGAAAATAAGGAGCCCAAGACCACATAAGACACCAACATGGAAGAGTCAGAGTGAAGACTGACAATTTACTCCTTCAGAAGCCCAGATCATGAGGCTTTGCTTGTTGAAGAGCAAGAAGGATGAAAACAGTATGTTGTGAATCCTTGTCATCTGTGCATAGATTCTGAAATTCCTGACTGTTGGTATATGTACTCCATCCCTGAAGCAAGGCATTTGTGAAGAGAATGGAACCCTGGATGAGGTAGCAGTAGAGGAATCCAAATCGTAATAGTGTCCTGACTTAACAACCCATCAAGATTAAAGAATGATCCCAACTAAGGAAACCAGGAAATAGATGTGTATGATCCCTGGTCACTTAATGACCAATAAAAGGATTGCTTGTGTTCTTGTCTCAAAGACATGAAGGATGTGAGTGATGCCCACATTCCCAGAAGAAAAAGAACCATTAATGCAGTGGGAGAGAGAGAGGTAAGTGATCCCAACTGAGAGATGAGATGAAAAATAAAAAATACCCCAACTGACGACATATCAAATTGGAGCAAGAACAGATTATGCAGTCTTGACCTGGGTTATATCTGAAAGTAGAATCAGAATGTAATGATCTAACAATTGATGAGATGTTGCCAGCAGTAACCAGTCATTTGTGGAATGTTGTATGCATAGTACGATGAAATAAAGGGGACGAGAAAACTCGTACGATACAACAGAACCCATATTAAGCCTATACGAGTCCTAAGGAAAAACTCCAGAACTGCGATACCTGAAATCGTGAAGTTCCAGTTGGATAAGGCCTAACTGTCCCTTCACATAACTAAGAAGTAAACCTTCCAGCATGATCCACAATATCCGTGTATGGAGAGAAAAAAAACAACTAAAAATCACTCCCAAACCTTTCAGCCATCAAATAAGTTGCAGACTCAAAAGCAACCAGGTAAAAGCCAAACATCACACACCCAAAGCACCAACAGAAGAAAAACAAATCAAAAGCAAATTATTCCAAAGTGGCTTCCTTTTTATTTTTCAAATAAGTTGTATTGTCAGATCAAAGCAGCTTTGGGCCACCTGCCACGATTACCCTAAAGAATCGAACCAAAGACCCCAGGCAACGAGTCCGTAAAGTTACCAGCCACCCACAGGGGGATAAAAATCCAACATACTAGAAAAATGCACAGGAAAAAGCAAATCTAAAGTCTCTCCAAAAAGTCAAGTATCGCCCTGAATTACAGCCTCAGAGACCCCCGGAAGACTACCACAGATCAAAATATATGTCTCCATCTCACTACGAATAAGATCACTGACAGTTTCAACTGAAAGTGACCCCCCAATTGTTGTCCAACATTAGATATGAGAGGAGGAAGGGAAGAGACCCAATTTGCCTCTGTGTTGGAAATAATAATCTGGGAATTCATACCATAAACAGTTTGCCAATCAGAAGAAGAAATTTTTTAAGGATTATTATCATTACGAAATCAACTAGATAACAAGATAACGTTCAAAGTATCTCCAAATGATTGTAATAATGGGAAACCCGTTAGTGATGATTTGTCAAGAAAAAATAATAAAATTATTTGAATGAGGTGCTTATATACAATACCAGGATAGAGTGTACATTGACGTACGTGGAGAGTGTCATGAGACAAATATCAACAAGGGCAATTGAGTGGGGTATAAAAGACTGGAGCAAGCGAGAAAAAATTCAGACTAATGCTTAGATGGGCAAAGAAGAAACCTTGGCATACATCTATAAAATAATACTTAAACAAACTGTTGAATTTAAGTTTACAAACATGATGATATGCCCTCTGACCACTACCTGTCTCAATAGGGTTAAAGCACAACTACTTTACACTAACAATATGACTGGTAAACTTTTTACTGTAGAGATTTATGGCATATTTCTTAATTTATAAGTACAATTTCTCTGTGATGTAATCCCAGTAGCTAATAAAGATCTTTCCCATAAATTATTTTACTAAACACAATTTTTATTGATTTGGTTACATTAGCATAGATGTACATGTTTTTAAACTCAAAACATTCAAATATACTCTAATCCCCATTTACTTTTCCACTAACTTTTGATCATGAATATGAACAAGTGATGATCATTTTGACAAAGGCTCCATGTTTGGAAAGCATCAAAAATTTTCTAAATGCACTTTTCATATCTTATACAAATCTACAATTGACATAAATGTCATAGGCTCAAATGAAATAGAGCAATTAATCCATTTTCAAAAAACTATCAAAAAGTGTATAAAAAGTGCTTCTCTTGCAACTTGGCTGTTAAAATTATTAAAAATGTGAGTACATAAACAATCTTAATATATTTTATTGTCTCATTCTTGTACTTTATGGCAAGATTAACTCGTATTGTTTGTATCTTAGGCCTAACAATTACTTTACATAAACTGCACATACTTAGTAAAACTCCTAACAAAGTACAAGTGATACTTACTAAGCTGTTAGGTGAGTATATATCAACACATTTGTACTTACAGAATCATCTGGTGGTTTCTCAAGTTTATCCCAATCAACAGAAGATCCCACTCCTTGCAGATACTTCAGGAAAAGCTTCTGAAAACCTCGGAATTCTACCTCAATTCTCTATTCAATAAAAATAATTTTGAACTTCAATAGGTAGAGCTTTTTAGCTTTTACGATAAACCTTACTCACTTTTGCTAATTAAACAGACCATACTTAAATTTCACATGCATTAGTGTACTTTCATTAGTAGATGCATTAGTGTAATTTCACACACAAAATCACATAAATTTTATAATATTTTGAAATATTTCACAGAAGAGCATACTATCATAATAAGAGCTGTGCAATTAATGGAATTTGCTAATCGATTAAATTCAACTAACTAACTAATCTCAAAAATCTTGGAAAGCTGAAATAATCTAAAACATTAATAATCAAGAAACACTAATTTCAATTCGTTGATTATTTTCATGAGTTACGACACTAACCAATTAAGATGAAAATCTTTAATTATACAAAATAACAATAATGACAATTCAAAATCACAATTTGATCACTTGGATAGTTGAAACATTAAGTTCAATTAGTTGATTATTTTTGTGACAGCAGTCGATTTGATTGGAATTATTTACATGCCACATTGATAAATTTGATATAATAGATTATATCAATTAATTGCCCAGCTCTAATTACAATAAGTTAAAATTATACTGTTTGTGGTAATAGGAAGTATTTATTAAATGTTTTGGAATCATCATAATTCTATCATCAGTAATCTAAAGGTAGAAAACAAATAAACAATATTTGTAATTACAACAGAAATATATATATATATATATATGAAGTAAACAATTTAAATATACAATCATAACATTATAACATGAGAAAATAAAAAAATAGCACAGATAAAATAGTTAAAACAAGTTTAAATCAAGTGGAGACTGCATGTTATTTAGAGATGGAAGGAGTTTTTATGTATAATGTTTATTTTATAAGTTCAGTATCATGTTTGGCTGTTGAAAGAACTTTAAAGTTGGAGAAAAAATGGCTACCCTATGCATTTCTTGAATAAAATAACTTCCTCATTCTTAACTAATTTGTTTGTCAGACCACCCAAGATACACACTGTACCCAAACTTCCCTTATACACCTGCTTATTTTATCTCAGGAGACAGAGCTCCCTAATCACAAAACAGCTGAAAAAATTATGTAACTCTTATTATCATCAAATTGACCTGAAAGTTATTATGAAACCCAATTTCAGACTAAAAACTGTTTTCCTCCAAAAACGATTGTTTGCCAACTGCCCATTGTTCACATCTCATCTACTTATACATGTGCAGAGACTGTAAGGCCTCCTATATTGGTGAAACCAAACGTCACTTTAAAGTATGAGCATGTGAACACATGGGCATATCTATAAAAACTGGAAGAAAGGTTACAAACCCTCCCAACTCTGCTATCTATCAGCACAATACAGAAACAGGACATCTGATTTCTCTCTCTTGATCTTTAAAATTCTCTCAACAGCCAAACATGATACTGAACTTCTTATAACAGAATCATTATACATAAAAACCCTCCTTCTGTCCCTAAATAATACAGTCTTCACTTGATTTAAACTTATTTTAACTGCTTCATCTGTGCCACATTTTTAATTTTATTGTGTTATAATTGTATATTCAAATTGTTTACTTCTGTGTACATATTTCTTTTGTAGCTACAAATATTGTTTGTTTTGTACCTTTAGATTACTGATGATGGAATTATGATGATTCCGAAACCCTTAATAAATGCTTCCTATTATCACATTCGTATTTTGCTTTATCATTAAGTTGCGTTCTCTGAAAAACAAGTTGATTACTAGTATGCCGTGCGAGATAGCTTGTACACAAGATATACCTTATATGTATATATTTATAAGTATATTATATCCAAGTTTTGATGAAATTTGGTAGAGGATCTCAGGTGTAGTCCCCAAAAGATCAAATTTTCATAACAACTGATTTAGATGGTATAGGTTTTTGGAAAAGCAGTGTAAATTGGTTAGTTAGTACCATAAGACACAAGAAAAGTTTAATTTGTGCAATATAAAACTTCTTGCTTCTTTTTCACAATCAGTTTCAGATCACATTTAGATGTTGCATTATAGGTAAAAATTTAAAAAGTGTATTTTTTTATTATATAGATCTAATTTTTTATGCACAAAAGTCCACATTTTTTATGATAAATCTAGTGAGGTTATAAACTGTTAGAAACAAAGACTGTATTTATATTTCTCAAGCATGCTTTAATGGTTAGTGTTGAAAACTAAGTACCATTTTAGCTAACGATATTAATTTTACATATTTTTTTATTCCAAACTCAGTATAAACCTTTAGTTTTAAATGGTACCTCTCTCTGTATGCTTGGTACAGTAAGCAATAGCTTTTCCAGTTCTTGAGCTAGCTGAACCTGAGCATCTCTCTTTGTGAGAACTTTGAATTCTGTTGAGTCACTGGGTGTTCGTCTGTGCCCAAACATCTGAATTTCAGACAGAATAAAATCAATATTGAAACTGAATACTATAATTATTGTCTAATTTGTTCTACCAATAAAAAGCAAAACTATATATATACACACAAATGCACATATATATCAATATTTTATTTACAAAAAGAAAAATGCTTGAATAGTAAGAAATTTTGTAGCTTAATGTATATTTTAGGGTAAGATTTAACTGTATGTATATTTTCAAAAAAATTCTATATCTAATAGAATATTCAAATTAAATTAAAATTGTCTACTTACCATGCAATGCACACAAATTGAGCATTAACATACAAACAATTATTATAAATAAAGAAAAAACAAACATTGTCAAAGATGCTCCTTTATTTTTAGTCTTCACAACACATTTAACTATTTATAGTTATGGTAGTACTATTAAGGCTATCTGCCACCATCTGTAATTTTCAACTACTGACCAGATACAAGACAGCAAGTCAGCAGTACCTTACCACCTTCTATCCATGCTAAAGGATTAGCTGTCACTCTCATAATCCACACATCTTAAAATGCAAAGAATACTGTGTGGTATCGCATAGTATTAAAACCAGTTTGCCAGCTCTGAAACTTAGAGCTCTACCACAGGGTCAACTCACACATCCAGGTGTAACTGATAAACTTTAAATTTAAATCAATACAACTGTTCTTTTTGATTTCCAAAAAACACAAGCTTAGTAAAAAAAAAAGGTATTTGGTGAAATAGGGTCCATAGACAAAATTAAAAAAATGAATTAAAATGTTCATAAGAAATTGAAGCCACTTGTGGGACTTGAAATTAAAATGTGTTAAGGAGAATCTTGCCTGTGATAATGGAGGAAACTACCTTTTCACTCGTTTTTTTTTTTCAGGGGAAAAATCTAGGAACAAAATATTTTTAGTTTGGTGAAAAATTATTTACTTAGTCATATACATACTTTGTAAAGGTTATATCATTAGACTGTGTATACTTACCTCTATGTTCTACTTCTGCAAAAACAAAATACCTCAACTTCTGTCATTGTAATTTGTATCTTGATATTACTTGTTTAATCTTTACTTTTGTTACTGTTTTGGCTAGCTTTTTCTCAACATACCACATTGTGTTTAATGTTAAAACATAATTTTTAATAACTTTACCTCTTATATAAAATAAATTCATTTTATCAACTTTCTCTCATCAGTTATCCGTGTGTACTAATATTATATTTATAACAAGAGTGCTGTCTACGCTAAATTTAATAAACTACGAAATTACTTATAAACCTAAATTCTACTAACTACTCCTTCACAAAACAGAGGCTTTAAAATGTTAATAATCGTGTGTTTTCAAATTTAGTGACTGGTCTTGGTAATGGTAAAACTAATTAAAAACATGTTAATATAACAGTTAAGGTGGGTTCCTTTTCCTATATCACTGATCTCAATATAGCGGTCTCTACTCGAACTTAGTATTTGTAATAAGTATTACATTTACTGAGAACTACGATATCATTATAAACTTCTGATCAAAAAGTTAGCATACACTCACAGCATCACATACAAAAGTTGATAAGGTTTTTCAAACGCGACCCACAACTCGAGCGCTTTGGGTCGCGTTTAAAAAAATCTTATCAACTTATCACTCCCAAATCAAAGCACGTGACAAGTAGTAAACTGTAAAGGTAGTAGTACTTAACTATGTTCGCCGGTAAAATATGATGATAAGAAGTTTTTGATTGTTTAATGTAATTTCAAACAGACCCATGCTATCTTATCAATTTTGAGGAACTATCACAGTATAAGTGATACCGAATATTTGTAATACCGGCAAAAGTATACGTACGGCTTTTCTTTCTTGATAAGTACCCATTGCTGAATTTCTCTTCGCTACAAATTCAAACCCAACCACTGCACCACTTAGTCTGATCTAGATTTTACTTATAGGGCCTTGCACTTGACTAAAAATGTCACCGCCAGAGAGTGCTACATGCGGCAAGGTCTCAAACAAAAATAAAACAAATCAAAATGAATATAATATTATTAAGGAAAAAAAAAGGCAAAGAATATATGTTTTCATTTTCTTACGATATTTTCCAAATATGAAATACCTAACGTGGAATACATATTAAAATGCATATCAAAAGGAAACAATACTGCAACATTCATTTACATAGTGTATATCAATAACGAATATCATAGTAAGGTGAATAAATACTTACAAAACGGCTATATAGAAAGATGAAAAACACAAATTACAACGCCTTCATAAGTTTATTTACCTTTGGATACAACGGAATGTGATCATAATGAATTATAAGCCAGTATTATTGGACTCATTGCTTTTTCTTTTTCAAATAAAAGGCCTTCGCACAATTGCAATTAATATTCTAACAAATGACTTATATAAATAGTATTCCGGCCACTGATGTATTTGTTATATAACAGGCGGCCTGACGATGGTTTGTTTGTAATTAAACACAAATTTACACAATAGATATCTGTTCTCGGAAAAATCCTAATGAACCGAATAAAGAAGCCTAATAATATTGCCTTAGGACAAATATAATTTATTATAGCAATAAATTAACTCTTAATACATATTTTAATAAACAAAACCGCGATATTATCACAAATATAATTCATTTGCAATAGCAATGAAGACAGGTTATTTCGTTCGAATGGCCAGGTGGTTAGGGCGCTCGACTCGCAATTGGAGAATAGCGGGTTCGAATCCCCGTCCCACCAAACATGCTTGCCTTTTCAGCGGTGGGGGCGTTATAATGTGACGGTCAATCCCACTATTCGTTGATAAAAAAGGTAGCCCAAGAGTTGGCGGTGGGTGGTGATGACTAGCTGCCTTCCCTCTAGTCTTACACTGCAAAATTAGGGACGGCTAGCGCAGATAGCCCTCGTGTAGCTTTGCGCGAAATTCAAAACAAACAAACAAACAATCGTTCGAATATAATGCGGCATTAAATACCAGAATTTAGAACAGTCTTAGTGCTTGTCAAAACAGGATTTCAAGTGAGATCCCACCATTACAATTAATAGTAAAAGTGTAAGATAAATATATTTAACATGCCTCTGTATCACATTAAATTCCCATTAATTATTATATTATATGAAATATGTCATTCTAACTGTATTATATTTCTATCATAATGTTCGTTTTATTACAATAGTTATGCAACTCAGTACAAATCTTATATCATCTTATTTTTTCTTCGAAAATATCTAAATTAGAAATATGGTTTATACAGTACGTTAGATAGTCACTTTATGTAGATGTCATCAATTGACAATCGGTTATATCGTGTACAAGATAATTTCATTTATATACTTTTCTCTATAATATAAAGTGTTACAAATACAACCACCTATCTTTCATCTATGTTGAACGTAGTGTTTTCAGCGAAACTAGTAATAACACATACGTATATAACGTATACTATAAAGCAAGTCTTAATTAAAACACTGTACAACAGCAAAAACAAGGGTACAGGCTATAATGTGGGGTATGTATCCTGGTTCTTGGAGATGACTGCGGAAGTAGGACACACAAGGTCTGAGTCCTAACCCCTCAGAGCAGTCACCTTCCCACAACTGTCCGCAGGCAGCGGAAATTAAAGTAACATAGATGTGGGACATCATTGGTTTGGGCACCGACATCTTGCTTTCTCATTTTGTTTTATTGTTTCTTATTTTACTCTTATTATTATTTTTTTCCTTTTTTTTATATACATGCCAGGCTTTGTGAAAGGAAGTTAAGACTGACAGACAGACTGACTACAATGTTATACGAGTATTGCTTTTGCAATCACCTCTTAAAAACCAGCACACCTTTTATACCCCATATTGTAGCCCTAATGAATGTTTTGTTTTACAGCATTTTTTAGGGCTTGTTTTGTATTATAAGTATGTTCTATTTCATCATAGTTTTAGTCTTGCTGTTTGTAACACAGTCTTTTTTATTATGTAAGTATTAACTTAACTCCTCAGATAATGTATGTTTATATATATATATATATATATACACATACATACAGATCTTCTACAATTTACAACTTAGGTGTTTTGGACCTGATTTTCTTCAAATGTAATTTCTTCTGGTTATTGCAGTTATAAAGCTATTGCTAAAACATTAAAACTTGTGAAGTTTTACAAATAAAATCAATGATCAGAAAATTAATGAAGCACAAAATGTGTTGCATTCTATAAGTGATTTTTTACTAATTTTATGTCAATCAAACTTAAATTTAGTCAACATTTTTCAAATCAACACAGAAATCAAATCAGAGACTTTGGTAATAATTGTTTTAGTCATACAAATATTTCAATACAGAGTTCAGACTGAATCAACAAACTAATTTTATGATAAAAAATACAGGATAGCATAGTTAAAACTGATGTATGTCACATAACCTTTATCTTTGTATCTCAGCTCCAGAAAATTTTATTTAATGAAAGTATAACAGCAAAAACTTGATGTTAAGGATACAATAGTTTAAGTTTTCAGATCTTTAAATGTAAATATAAATATATACAGAATTCTTAAAATTCTTCTCATAGTACAATTTACTTTAAAAAAGATTAATTTTTATTTACAGAAGTTTGCTAACTTATTCAAAAACACAACATACAGACCAGAAACATTGAAAAATTAAAAAGTTCTATCACAGTTCACCCTCAGAGTTACTCACAGTTAGTTTTCATGTAACATAATCTTACAACTTGTTCTACATCAACTTCAATGCAACAAGTTACATCTTGATTCCTAAAAACTCTCTCTCTCTCTAATACCACAACACAACCAAGAATATGGATAACTTCCAGGTTTACAACCAAAGGTATAAAGTTAATATAATGATTATAAAACATTCACAATTTTATATATTTAGTATGTTATCACTCAAATGCTTATTTAAGCATTTTAAGTTAAAAGAAATAATGCAGTAAACATCAACATAATGGTTAACAGAACAGTCAATTTACTAGGGCAACTGGTTGTGCCTTTGCAAGGTTTTAATTGTTAATTAGCTGACAGGCATCATTTACTCTCCCTCGCATGGAGTTATTAAAGCAGGAAAATAATGTTCTATGTTAATACAGGGTGTTCTAAGCATTAATATAATTCACACAGCTTGTTTTTCTTTGTACCAAATGCCACAATATAAAAAGCTATAGTATTTCACACACCCTGGATTTAAAATAGAATGTTAAATATAGACATACAAACATTCAAGCACTGTTGATTTCACTTGGGACAAAATACAGTAAACACAAAGATAGTAAATATAAAGCTTTCTAGGTTCTTGTTTATTTAGAATCTTGCAAGTAGTATTTCTATTAATATTCGTTGTAAGTAATTACAAGCTTAATATTCAAACTATTACCTTGTTAACAAAACTGCAGTAAAACGTTGATCTTATCCTATGATATAATAATGGGATGTTATTTTAACATTTACTTTTTACATATACATTGATACAAAAACGAGCTGTACAATATCTAAAATGATATATTTTATTGTGGTTTATTGTTTTTTCTTGAAGAAGAATATGAACCTTTTACTTAAAATTTAAGATTTTTAATAACAGTTAAATAATTGTACATCATATTTCCCTTTAAAATAATGACCTTGCTTTATCAAGATTATACTATGTGTTAAAAACATAAACTACAAAACTGGTGCTCATTAGAAGTAAATACATTTTTAAATTTTAGTAAGCTCTAAATGTTTGAAATAAATCTAATCTGTTTTATAACAACTGGAAAGTTACATGCCTAAAACTGAGAAAACGTTCTACTTCACTACTAATGTCATACCAAAGTATAATTAGTAGAATAATAAAAATACAAAAAAAATCTTAAACTTTCAGGTCAATTTCTAATTACTTTTATGTGATACTCTAAATGAACAAACTTTTCCTAATGAAAATAATTTTTGAAAATTTTTGCTTAACTTAAAAGAACTAAATTTATATTTCTAAATTAGTAACTTATTTTCTGTTCTACTAATTTATAATTGGATGTACAATGCAGATGTATGTTTCTTCCATTCTTTCATCTCCTATAAAGAATAGGAGTTGACACAAGTAGACTTACCTACAAACATAACTAGGTCAGCTTACACCTATTTAGTACTGAATGGATTTCAGTTATGCTGTAATTTAATTACTAATAAAGAGATGTGCACAAGATATACAGCTATAGATGTGGGAAAGGCCAATTGTATATGCATAAATCTATAACCTACCTTGAGTTCTTAGATTGACAGTATGTATTTTTTAAAGAAAAGTCTAATATTCTATATTAATTAGCTTGAGAATACTATCTGAAACTTTCTGAGTTTTGTTACTAAAATATTGAATGGTATTTTATTATAAATTCAATCATAAAATCTCAGAGGATGACAGCATCATGGAGGTGCCTTCATCACATGGATATGATGAATTATGAAAGACTTAATGCAATACTATCTTGTGTTCACAGAAATCAGAAATAAAAAGATCTCTACCTAAATAACTTGTGTAAAGCAACTTTCTAACAATCCTTCTGTGAGTGTTGCTGTTATAATAAGACTTTTGATATTAGTACCAGAAAATCAGCGGTCGTTTAATAAAGAGGTATATAGGAAAGCTATAATATTTTTGTTCATAAAATATGAACTCCAAAGTTAAATTCATTAATGATAATAAACACTTTAAAAATTCAGTCATTTAAATTGTAATTACCATTTCTTGTCCATACAAACCTCAGAATGCTATAACAGATCTGCTGTTACTGCAGTATATTTACTGGAAGAATGGTATCAGAGTTCAAAAAACTTAGGTTATTATCACATGCACATGACAATGACAGATAAACATTAACATAATTACAGACTTTAAGAGTAATGCCTATCTTAACGATTTATTATTATACTTAAACTAAAACCTTTTTCTACAAAGAAGCTTATGTGTTTCTTCAAGAACAGAACAGTTAATTTCTAATAATCAAATAGAGAGAAAAAAAAAAAGTTTCTTCAAGGTTCATTAACAAATTGAAAAAAAAAAGATTTCCTTGGAAAACAAAAGGGCTGAGAATCTGCAAACTTTCTAAAATGCTTATTTTAAATTTTTTTATTTCATAATTTTTACTGCAACTATTGTTTGCTTTTTGCCCTGCTTGTCCAATCTTAGACGTGAGTGACCGTGGTTCTTTTTGTCATCTTTCTTATGTAGCCTGTCCATCAAATCTTTTAGATTTTTTATAACTATATAAGAATGTATGAGGCAAGAAACAGTGTAACAGCTGAACCTTTCAGCGGTCTTAATTATGGCTATATGTTTTGCTGATGAATCAGGTACAAGTTTCTACTAAAGAAAATGAAATAAGGTACGAGTTATGATATTGTAAGTGCTTGGCCTAAAATGAGGAAAAAGATCTATATTGTTTGGAATTATATACTTTCATTTGGTAAAAATTCTTAATTATAAATTATAGCTCATATTTCTGCTATTGGCAATGTATGACCAATGCTTAATATTTTGACACAGTTTCTTTAAATTATAGTGAAGGATATATATATATATTACTATAAAATCAATATGGTTAAAAAACAAAATGCAACTCCACCATGATAAAATATGAAAACACAAAAAAGAAATGGTTAATATTTCTGTGAGTGAAAATAAACGAAGCTAGGTGGTCAATATTTCATTCAAACTACTTTCATCTGGCACTAATGAAGGTTGGCCAAAACACTGACTACATTTTTTCTCTTCTCCTTACAACAATGTTAGCCATTTTTGTATATTTTCATGCATAATCTAACAGCCTGTATCACAGCAGTACTGTAACAAAGTTGAAACAAAACATTTATGTGTAGATGTGATGCAGCCAACCTGGAAAGCTTTATAACATTATGGATGATTCATTTGTGAATACACACAAAAGTTTCATAATATTCAACATAAAGCCATAACAAAATACATTAAAGACTGTAAATTATGAGGCTAAATCAAAGAAAAGATGTAAAGGAACATTGCTGTAATTGCAACAATGGACATATTTCTGGTATACTGGTTATTTTTAACATGAACAGTCAGGACGTCGCTGGTGCTGGTGCTGGCGGTTCAGTCTTCGAAGAGCTGTATCTCCATATTGGATACCTGAACCAATTCTTTCTGGATCAAGTTCTCCTAAAAGAAAAAACAGGATCTATTCAGAGTTGGAAAACTAGAGTGCTCAAAATGTCATTATTTCATATAATGACTTTATTGGGCAAATCCTAGCATTTGACTGAATCTTCCTAAATAGCTTAGAACTGTAAATTATAATACTGGCTCAGGCATAAATGCATTTCTCTTCAGAAATCATGAATTGTACCAATCAAATTTAGTTCTCTAATAGTAATAACAGACAAATATAAGTCACTGCATGTATGCTTTTTTAGCATCAGTTCTACAACACGGAATCAACTTTAACCTTATCGTAACGGGCTCGCGTATTTTACACAATTTTGTAACCACCATGGTTACATACTATGATTCTGAAAGTACTTAATGTATCTTCATGAAATTTGGCATGCTTTCAAGTGAACTTTAAAAGACTTTTGTAGACAAAAGATCAGAATATTTAATTATTTTTACTAAAACTTTGTCCATAATTATATGGTGTCAAAGTTCTGACTGCTCCAAGTGCAAAGTGATTTTCGTGTTAAGATTTAAAATATTTTTCTTCTTTTGAAAACTTTCAAATTTTGTTTGCGTAATCTCTAAAAACCTCCTAATAAGTATAACTTTTTTTTCCAGTAGAACTTTATATTTTTTCAGTTATTTTCTACACTATAACTCTATACAGGTTTGATTGATTTTGACCAACCTCATAACCACCATAAAAAAATTATTTAATAAATCTAAATTACCATTTTTCTTTCTGAAATGACTGCAAATTGTAACAGGAAACCACAATTGTTTATCCTAAGTAGCTTAAGGCTTGTAATAATATCTACCTATTTAAACTTAATATTATTGTGCTCTTGAACCATGTCTAATAAATAATCCTGCCATACAAGTTGTAAATTACTTGGCAAATGTGTAGCTCACATTACCCTATCAAATTACATAATACATACAAGTTATTCACGAGCATACTTTACAAGAATTATTAATATTATTTTTTTCTATATTTTACATAGTCTAAGCCTATCTAACCCAATAAATTTGTAATTTTTACATTTTAGTTACTTTTATAATAACAAGTAAAGAATACACATGAAAAACAAGAAACAGTACTTATTTGCGTCATCGTCTTTTTTTGTCAACTGTCAATGAAACTTAATCCTATTTTTTTTATAATAATGGTACTACTGCAATAAATAATTTTTTACTTAATTAAATAATATACCTAAGAACACAGAATAATAACACAAAAATCCAAACAATGTTCTATAACTATCATAATTTTTCTGGCTTTCTATCTATGCGACATGAGGCATTAAAATTCAGCTAAGCTCTTCAGTGTGTTTCCCATAGAAATAAAGTTTGAAATGGAAGTGAAATAGACAATTCTTTGTTCAGAAAACAATGTAATATAATATGTCCTTTGGTAGATTAACACTTTGGCTTTCTATTGGTTGTAAATAACATAGTGTAAACATCAGAGAGATCTATTGGCAATTTGTGAAAGAGAGGATGTGACCAGTGAGCATGGCTCTGACCAAATAAGATTGAAGGCTATAAGAATTATGCTTTGCCAGAGTAATAACAATTTCTATACTTCTTGGAGGGGTAGTAAATAAATTAGAGAAGAGGTGATACCTGGAGAGCAAATGTCACAATTCTCATACTAGGGTGGGATTGAGGATTATAAATATTTACTTACAAATTTAAGGTCAAATTTATTCGTATATCATGATAATAATGTAGTTTGATTAAATTTTGAATATAACTAATATAACTTTGACATGCCCATAGCAAAAGGGTTAACTCATTACTGACATACGATTTTTTTTGTAAATATGAATTAAAAAAAAGAAAGAAAAATTTACATTTCTTAAATGAATGTATATCTGCACATTTTCAAAGTGTGAAGCATATTTTATCTTCATCAGTAACAGCAGCCTGAACCACAGAACCTTGGATCAACAATCTGACATGCTAACCACTGGGCTGCACTTGGCCCCAAATAATTCATACATACATATATTATTTAAATTTTTTAGAACTTAGGCATATTTAAGCAACTGTAAGTTTAATAATTTATCTCTAAAGCATGACAATCTTGAAGCATTTTAATCATTAATTTTCAAGTTTATATTATAGATAGTTTTATTAACGATCACTGTTGTTGGGACTAATGAAACACTGTATCAAAATCTATTTAGAGCATTAATGAAGTATGATGCTATATTGAATATGAAATTCTGAAATATCTTGTAGTACAAATTGAAAGTTATAATTTTCCTATATTGAAAATATATTTCTAATAGGTACTTACCTCCTCTCACATAAAGAGCTGTTCTCGTTCAGTGCTGACCTCTATATACAAAAAAGTTTTTTTGCATGCTCCGAGCTCCCACGTACCTTACAATTGAGTAATTCAAATGCATCTCACATGCAAATCATCATGCAACAACTCTCCACCAATAAGAGTGTGACACTCTCCTGCCACATTTCACTCCCTCTATTTGATTCTACTGAACTATCACTTCGAGTTTAGGCAGAAAATGGAAGCACTGGTTTTCAGTGTGGAGGAAGGGTGGAAAATGTGAGAAGAGGTAAGTACCTATCGAAAATATATTTTCAGTATAGGAAAATTATAATTTAGGATACAGTACATTACCTCCGCTCACATAAATAGCTAGAATTCCACAGTGAATAGATGGAAGGACTGGTGCAAGGTAAAAAAAGAAGCATCTTTCGAAACTGTCTGAATGACACCCTAAAAGAGTAGACCCTTGCAGTACAGAATCATACTTGTGAGAACACACCACTTCTGTACCAGGTATACTCTTCACCAAGTGTGGAAAGAGGTGTCACAGACATGAGTGGAAATTGGGAGGAGCACATCAAAAGGGAGAGAACAATGGTTGGATAGGGATCCAAACCATGTGATATTAGAATCTCAATCCCTTAAAGTACATCAATGTGGGTTTAGAGTAATAGGATGTGCCTCCAGGTGAAGAGTGGCTAGGGCACAACAGACCATACATGGGAAGTCAACTACATCCAAAACCCAGACTACAGGGAACTGAAATCCACTGGGTTTTGGATCATACTGTCAGTAAGTCAACTACAATCCAAAACCTGGCCACCAGGAACCGACATCCATGTAGGGGTAGGAAAGAGGATCATACTGCAGGCAAGTCAACTACAATCCAAAACCCAGGCTGCCGGGAGTCAACATCCATGTGGGGTAGGAAAAAGGATCATACCAGCAGCAAGTCAACTAAAATTGAAAAACACAGCGATCTATTTGGGATAGGAAAAATGATCATAAGACCAGAGGGGATCTTGTACCCCTAGGTCTATTAACAGGACACATGATAGCAATGTGAGAAATTGATTGATTGATCCAGGAACCCGACTTCTGGTATCATAAAGATGTCTTTGTAATGTAAACCATCTCACTCAAAACCAATCTAACAGGTATAATAAAATCAAGGAGTAGCATAAGAGGAAGAACCATATTAATCTGCAAGTACTTCCATCGTAACCCACCTCACAGAGGAACAAGAGTATAATTGAGTGATGAAATAGAGACACCTGTAATACATGTGTGAGAATTGAGAGGCAAAGCTGTGATGTCATTTTTAGCTCAATATGTCAGTTTGTTGGACTGGCTAGAGAAAACTTGTAATGATACTGCATTGCCATCAAATGTGGATGTGCATTCAGAGTGTTTTTTGGTCTGAAGCTGTTCGAAAAGCTGTTTACAATAACTCAGCCAGTGCATATTCTAATACAGTCACCTAAAGTTTCAGTGCAGTCTGTCTGCTCAAAAATTGAAGGCATGGCTTCTCTTCTGCAGGATGCTAATGATGCTGGAATTGCAATACAGTTTTACAAGTCCATTTTATCCACTTCTAATTCTATAGGCATTGAAGATCTAGCATTGCACAGAGGTGCAAACATCGCACAAACTGTAGAAGCTGAACTTGAAAGTATATACCAATCAGTGTTTGCAGCTCCTGTTGAATCAGTTTCTGTGAGATATCCTGCAGATAATTTGCATAAACTAGCAGTGATTGAGAAATCTCTATGCAAGCAATCTGCAACTGATATTGATGAAATGTACAACATTTATGAAGATGACCTGGTGACATTAAAATCAAAGGCCTGTATGAAATATGAATTTGAACAAGTGCATAGTGTCATAGCCAAGAACTTTTTTAGATCAAAGATTTCTGTACAATATTTTTGTGAAGCAATGTGCAAAAATCCCTGCTCAAAATCTATCTGTTATCTCCAGTGACTACGTGTACTGCTGAAAGATTGTTTTCTGCCCTGAGGAAGCTGAAAAGTTACTTGTGCCTCACTATGTCACAGTCTAGCATGAATTATCTTGCTTGTGTCTATATCCTGAAGAACGAAGTGGATGAATTGGATTTGCCAAGTGTTATTAACGAAATTATTAGTTGCAGTACAGCTCAGCTAAATATGTTTCTTCTTCAATAAAAGTTTAATATGTATATAGTATTTGTTTAATTGATTTCTCAGTTAGGGCAGCATGTCTAGCTGATTTTTCAAGGGGCCCCCAATCTAGGTTGGACTGAGGATAAAGGTGAAAAATGGAAGGAAGAGAAATCAGTGAGAAGGAGGAATTACTCTCCTAAGCCACTGAATTTTTGGGGAGGAATTATAGATCTGAATAAAGCAGAATATATGTGGAATGCTATAGAGTACATGAAACATTGATGGCAAATAAGTCTTAAAGGATAAGTTGAAAATCAAGTACAAGAACAGTGGTTCAAACAGAAGCAAAGTGAGGCAGTGAAGAACCATATTAACATTCCAATCTGAAATGACGGCACACTGAAGCGGATGACTAATCGGGAAGAAATGCAATAAGAGGGAAATGGCAGGAGTGGTAAAAACTTTACAGTACCAGGAAAAATGAAAGTGTGGGATAAGGCAGCCCCATAATCCATGATCTAGGAAACAGAAGGCCCCTGATCAAAGAGTCGAGTGAGTAAATCCATAATATGAGGAACCATGTTTCTAGCAAGTGAAAACCCCTGATCCAAGAACCAATGACAGAAAACATTCTACTTACATTGATAAAAATACCTAGAGGAAGGGCAAATGTAACAAGTTAAAAAAAAAAAGAAGCTACCCATCAGGAAAAACCAAAATGCCCTTGCCAGAGACAGGATAAAACCAGGCATGAAGAGGAAGGATAGGAAGGGCTGGATGAAATGGCAATGACCAAGGTTGACATAGAAGACATGGAGTAAGAGAAAGAGGTAATAGAGGGGTAGAGTGGAGCTGGAGCAGCCACAGAAGCCACAGTTGTGCCAGCCAGTAAGGAGCAATCAGAAGGACTTGACACAGAGTGGCATGGATAATCGAGATGACCCTGTGAAGAAGATGGATGGGAGGATAAACATATAGGTATTTGTTGGTCCAATCTTGACTCTAAGCATTGACAGCCAGAGCAAGAGGATGTGGAACTGGAGACCAAAACAAAGGTAATTTGGTATTGAGAGATGTGACAAAAGCATCCAGGTGAGGAGTACCCCAATGAAGAGATAACCATCAGAATACAAGAGAATTGAGAAACCACATTGTCAGATAAACTTTGTCTGGACATGATAGCCGATCAGCAACAAGATTGAATGCACCCAGAATATGACATGCAATGATATGAATACTGAGAGTGTGCACCCAAAAAAAGAAGATCAAAAGGAATGTGAATGTGTGCCACCTTGGTAATTGAGATAAGCCACCACTGCAGAATTGTCAGAATGGATCATGACCAGACCATTCCTGACAAGATGAAGAAAATGATCCAAGGCATGATGTACAGCTAAAAGCTCCAGGATGTTGATATGGTAAGATCTTTTGATCGGAGACCACTGACCTGAAGGTTCCTGCTGATCAACCCATGGCTCCCAGCTCTGAAGGAAAGTACCTGTGAAGATATGTAAATCCCGAAGAGGAGGAGGAAGCAGAACACCTGCCAACGTGTAAGCCTTATTCAGTCAATGCAGATTGTCTACAAGGAAAGGAGGAAGGGAAATAGGAGCTTCCAATGGATCTTGTTCAAGATTCCATTGGTCATGCAGAGTCCACTGAAGAGACCACACATGTACTCTTTCAAAGGGGATAAGGGCTTTCATTGAAGACCACATCCCCAAAAGCAATAGAACCTTGTGAGCTGTAAGAGAGGGAGCAGTAGGGGTGTGGAGAACTGAAAGTTCCATTGAACAAAGTCGAAGAGGAGAAGGTTGAGCTTGACTGAGATGAATGTTGAAAAAAAACACCCAAATGGACAAGATATTGCGTAGGTATAAGGAATGACTTCTCCAATTTGATTAACCCGCCCATACGAGCTGCCTTCAGGAGCAGCTGATGAGTGTGATAAGTGGACTCCTATTTGGAACGAGCTAACAGAAACCAGTCATCCATGTAATGATGGAAGCGCAACCACTGAGCATGTGGAGGGCGAGGCATGCTGGCACCCTCAACCAGCTAAGAAACAAACTGCTCAGCATGAACCTTAATATTCGGGGAGGACTAAATACTGAGAGGAGGAGATATCATGTAATAAGGATGGGGATCATCCAAAATTAGGGAAATAGATAAAATAGAACATACCTGAGAAATCGTGTCTAAAAAAGTCGTATTAGGCTTAGTTGATTCTGCAGCAGGGGCATAGGAAGACATGGCAAAATCAGGTGGCAGAAAAAGGCTGTCAAAATCCTCATTGACCGGAACAGGTTTGGCATATTCAGAAGAAATAGGGGCAAGATCAGAATAAGCGGGTTGACTCATATAACAAACAATCTCACAGCGGATAATAGCTGATAAATCCAAAGAATAGTCACCCCCACTTGTATGAGTGTGCTAGTAGAAGGTACGATATCCGAAGTAGTAACTTGAACTTTGGAATTCATTGTGTAAAATTTAAAATCAAACACAAGTGTTTGATGAAAAAATAAATAAAAACTGGGAATATAAGTTATCTGACAAGTTTTTAACTGTTGAAGAAAAAAATAAAATCCAGTTCATAATAATAACTAAAAAAATTGTGAAGTTGATTGAATTCAAAGAGCAAAAATAAAAAAGAAGTGGTAGTCTTTGATAGATTGTTCAGGCAGAGTATTCATGATGAAACTTTGTTGAATGGATGGCAACTGTCTGTTGTAGAAACACAAGTGTGGAGTACGGTATTTTGAAAGTCTTTGACTTTGTCTTCAGGTCAGTGAGTGTGATGGTGTAGTCAGTATTTATAGTGTTCTGGTGAATTGTGGAGAGTGTGTTATGATTGGTTGGTTTATCCCTGTTTCTGAGTGGAGGAGAGATTTCCTGTAGATTCAACATATGGTAGTCACAGGCTACTCACCTCTCATCCAGAACTGCTCTTTAGTGAAGGTTTAATTGTGTTAATGTAAAATGATTTATTAATTTTTCTTTTCTTCCAAAATTTGTCTGTGTCAATGATTCTAGTTTTTTGCCAGTTTATTTTGTGTCTAGTTGACATGGTGTGTTCTGCAATAGCTGAATTTTGTGTTTTCATGAGTCTTGTACTGTCTTTACGTTTTTTTATTCTTGTTGCAAGTCTTCTTCCCATTTCTCCAATGTATGTTTCCTTGCAAGAACACAGAATTTGATAAATGATGCTTTTGTGTGTCTTGCTGGTAGGTTGCTGTTTGTTTTTTACCAGAATGGATCTTATTGTCTTGTAGGATTTCCACCAGACTTCTATATTGAATTTCTTGGCTATGTGTTTGAGTTTTTCAATGAAATTTTCCTGGTAAAGGAGGTAAATGGTAGTGATAATGTTTTTCTGATCTTTTCTTTGTGTTGTGGTCTTCTTCAGGGAGTTTCTGATGAAGGAGGAGGTGTAACGATTCTGTTTAAAACACTCTACAATCTTTTGGCGTTCTGTTTTGATGTCTTATCAGAAATGTTTTTTGCTTTCTTGTTTAGGCATTAGATTATACCATGTTTTATCAAGGTTGGATGATAGGACTAGAAGCGTAGGTATCTGTTCGAGATGGTGGGTTTTCTTTATACAGTTGTGATGATTTTTCTCTCTTGTCTGCTGCTGAGTATGTCAAGAAACGGTAAGCTGTTTTGTTCCTCTATTTCTATGGTGAAGTGGATTCTTTTGTCTATAGAATTAAGATGTTCCAAGAAGGTTGGTAAGTTTTCATGACCGTGGGGCCAAATAACGAAGCTGTTGTCAACATAACATCTGCAGATGAGAGGGCTCTTTCTTCAAAGTCTTCCATGAAAATGTCTGCTATGATTGGAGAGAAAGAGGTGATCCCATGGCTAGACCATCTGTTTATTCGTAGAATTCCTCGCTGTATTGGAAATAAGTTGATTGTAGGGAAATAGTCATTAGTTCCATGATGAAGTCTATCTTCATGTCAGTTCTGTGTGGTAGAGAGTTGTCATTCAGCAGTCATTATCGGGGATGTGAAGGGTTTCTGAAGTTGGAACATTGGTAAATTGTTCCGTGATGTCAAAACTGACCAGAATACCTTGGGATCTGATGTGTAGCTTTTAGAGTTGTTTTATGGAATGTGTAGAGTTTTGGATGTGATGTTTGGTGTTCCCTCATAGTGGAATAGTGGAGATAGGATAGGTACCAGGAAGGTAGCTAGTTGATGGCAAGGCGAGTTTATAACACTGACGATAGGTCTTTGGCTAGCTTCTCATTGATTAAGTTTTGTTTCTTAAGTTTGTTCAGTGTTCTATTGATGAGTCTCTCTTTTATTTAGGGACATTGGTGACCTTTTTATATTGGTGTTTGTCTAGTGATAGTTCAGTAGAATCGAATAGATGGAGTCACCTGCATCAGGAGAGTGTGTCACACTCTTATTGGTGGAGTATTGTTGCATAATGATTTGTATGAAAGAAGCATTTTAATCGTTTGATTGTAACGTATGTGTGAGCTTAAGGCTTGTAGCATGTGAAAAAACTTTTTTCATATATAAGGCAGCACTGAACAAGAATAGCTATTTATGTAAGTGGAGGTAATGTACTGTAACGGAAACATTTTTATAATTTGGTAATCACTAGCATTATAAAGTCACATAGATCTTTACAAAAAACGAGAATGAAAGGGGAAAAGACAAGATTACAAGAAAATTTTGTTTATTGCATATTATCCAAAAATATTATTATAATATATTCAGAGTAGAATGTCAAATCTAACAAAGCATGAACACATTTATACTAGAAAACTAAATGAAATTTCATTACGATACTTCTAATAATTTCTTTACATTATTCTTAGCTGGTTCCTTTAGAAGAATACTCTTTTCATAATTAATAAATGCCAGGACTAACCTGTTTCAATTTTTGCCAAAATTGATTTGCCACACTTCAGGAATGCCTCTTCTACATTTTCTCCTGTCAGAGCACTAGTCTCCAGAAACATCAGTTCTATCAAAATTCAATTCCAATACACATCAATTGATTTTCAAAATGATAACCATAAAATTTTGTATTAATAATCAGGTTATTAGACACCACACATTTCTAACAGAGAGAAACAAAATCTTAAAAATCATATCATATAATAAAAAATTATTATTTGTATCAATGTGCATCTGCTTAACTAGATAAATCTACCAAAAGAAATGAATTAGTTTTTCATCAAAAATATATTACATCACTGTGATGAACACAAAAAATAGTCACATGTTAAAAACCTAAAGGCTACACTGAATATTTCACCCAGTGGCATAGTGAAGGGGGAAGGGGATCAAGTGAGGCTCCTGCCCTGGGGAAGCACCAGGAACAGTATTTTCCACTGTTCATTGTATTTTACTTTCAAAAGTTTTCTGATTAAAGGATTTAATTGCTTTTTAGCTATACATTATAAATGACTAATTAAATTGTTTTTCATAAGTCTGAAAGAGCAACTCAGAGAGTGATATACAAGCTGTCAAAAATCTCGATTGAAAGAAATATTGAAACAACCCAACAAATGTGTAAACTCCTTCCTAGCTATATACAAATAAACATTATGGAAACTTTATTTAAACTTTGAAGAAACAACCTTCTGTGTTAACTTTTGACATTACATCTTTTTAATGATCATTAAAACAGTTTACGGGAGGAATAGATTAGGTAGGGAGGCTTACAATCCTTATGGGCTAACAACTTTCCTTATGTAAATAAATATGTCATGTTTGAAAACAATTTGTGATTACGATTGTAGTTTCACAACTTATAAAAAATACTGAACAGTTGAATTAAAAAGGTCATTTGTTTATCAGCTGTGTGAAGGAAAGTAAACTGCAGGGGTGCAGTACCTTTGATGGTGGGTATGATTAATTTAATAAAAACGTGTCAGTGATGTCATATTTTAGTCAAATGCTCAAAGTTTACTCAAGACATTTTCTGATAACACATGGCAACAAATAAATTTTTTTCTCTGCTACTAGAAAAAAATGAAACTGATTAAAATTACTGATCACCTCTAGTTTTCGAGTTATGATAGATTTATTCAAAATATTCTTATTTATTTATTTATTTATTGTGAAAATATTTTTTTTTCTTTAATAACTTTATTTATATATTGAAAATTGTATTTAAGAATGTTCAAAAACAATACATAATAGTAATACCAGCTTAAAAAAGCAATGAGTATAGATTCATATACTGAAAATACATTCAGGTTATGTTCAAAACATTCATCATGGTTTTATTTTTTATTACAAAATATCTGCTTGACTTTTATGCCTTTTGTGTAAGTTCTCAATTTCATACTGTAAGAACCAACAATAATCTCCCATCATTGCAAGATTCCATCGTCCTTGATATCACTGTTCCATTGTAGATATATCTTGGTGGAAGTGCCTACTATGATCATTTCTCACGTCACCTAAATCATTTGAAAAGAAGTCTAAATGGGAGTGTAAGAAGTGCATCTTTAGTGACATCTTAGTCCCAATTTTCCTATAGTTCTTGAGCATATTAACAATCATTGCAGCATACTTTACATCTCTGTGCTTTCCTAAGAAATGCTTGACAACCTGTTTGACTGATTTTCACGTAGCAAGTTCTATCTGATTGAGTACAGTTTCAAAATCTTAATCCATCAGTACTTCCCAAATCTGTGGGCCAACAAAGATTCCTCCTTTCATTTTTGTTTCACTGGTTTTTGGAAACTTGTCAAACAGATATCTGAAACCATTATCATCTTTGTTCATTCCTTTTACACAATTCCACGAGTCCCAATTTAATATGAAGTGGGGACAGAAACACATTTTGAGAATTCACTAAAGGTTAATACTTGATATTCTATTTCCCTGATATACAATTCTCTCTCACTGGCCATTCCTTCTTTTTGAAATTATTTTTATCATCTTGGCTGACACAGAGATACAAAAAGCAACAATGTTTAGGTATACCCACTTTGCAGGCCTAGCAGGAGTGCAATAACATTTAGATCACCACATAAGTTCCACCTATGGTGATCATACTTGATAGACTCGAGTATATGCTGAATGCTTTGATAAATTTCTTTCATGCTCACAGCATGAGCAACAGCATATGATGGCTTAATGCTCCCATTGTGCAAAAGTACAGCTTTCAGACTAACTTTAGATGAGTCGATAAAAGAGGATGGTGTTCAGTACCTAATTCTTCCATTACTGCATCAACATTTATATCTTGCACGTTTTAGTGAGAAACAAGACTTTGATGGTGACTTCAGTAAATTGAAACTTTTCCTAGAGTTAATACAGTCCATTGCTGTAAGCAAAAGCCAGGAAGTACCCAATGCTGCTTTGATAGAAACAATACACGAATCAGTTCATTTAGCTCTTCTTGTGCGATTAAGTGAAGCAGCTTATGTTGAGGTGCCACAGGAATAAATTACTAGATGAAGAGGACGAAGATGATTCATTTTCTGCACAGCATAATTCTTCTGTTTCTCAATTTGCTGGTTGAAGTGGCACCGAAAGACCATTCCTATGAGGAATTGGTTTCATTGGAGATACAATATCTGGATATTTAATGTACTGTTTAGGTTTGTCTGAATATCCAGAAATATTAGTCATACAAAAATAACAGTCAGTATGATGAACTATGGGCTCATGCCATATCATGGGAACTGCAAATGGCATATTTGCTCTCTTCTTTTTCAGTAATTGTATCAAGCCAGATGTGCAAACTTTAAAACATACATGTGGAACGCAATGTTTTTCTTGGTCACCAATTTTAAACCCAAAATAGTGGTAGTAAGCTATCTTTACCTTGTGTGTGTGATGTTTTTCCTTCATTAAACTGTAATATATTTTCCACAAATGTAGCAGAAACTGTTTGGGTGATTTTTGCACTTCAGTTGAACTGGACCAAACGATTTTCTAAGAAAATATAAAAGATTTTACATTTACAGAACTAGAGTTTAAAACAGTTTAAAAAACAAAGATTTGCAGAATTTAATTATATCATGGGTATGATGCAAGGAAGATGAATGAATTTGTTTTGACTGCAAGCAGAGTGAGGCAAAGTGACCAACTGATTAAGTGAGAGGCATCTGACTCCGCCATTTTTATGTGCAGTTCAGGGACTTCTCGAATGTTCTAGCAAACTGAGCATGTGAGGGTTTCATGATTTCCAGTCGAAGCAGGTGAGCATGGGAATGAAGAAAAAGTGGTTCAATTCACTATAATTATATTGAGAACAAATAGCATATATAAATATATATATGAACAATATATCTGGAATTTTACACCAATACAATACAATCAATGTTTGAAGTTATCAAAAATTTATGCCTTTTATCCATTAAACTGTCCAAGTAAATGTAATTTCACAACATAAATCTATTGTACTGAGTTGATTGTATTGTATTTCACATAATGGTGATGAAATATTGAGATATTACAATAACTCAAAATCTAGAGGTGATGGACAAATCCTGACTATATGTTTTTTGAAATCAGCACCATCAAATTACCCCAAATCACTTGAGTATTTTCTAGTCACAAATTTGTTGTTGTCCAGTGTAATATTCTCCACAGGCATAAGAATTATATCTCTTTTCAGACACATTCTTTTTAAATGGTTTATATTTGTCCTATTATTATTAGTACTAAAAAGTTCTCTTTCTTTCAGTGAGGGTGAAAGAATGATGGCATCACCAAATAAAAGATCTTACCTCAGGAAACAAAGATAATAAAATGAGCAGAATGCAGCTCACTTTTGTCAATTTATGGTATCAATCAGTTACATTGAGGAAGAGGATCAGGAAATAAGTGATACTCCACTTTCAGTATCATCAGTTGCTGTAACTGCATATGCAATTAGAAGTTAGCTTGACCTTGACCTATCCAGTAGCTACGACATGAACACACAGAATGAGTTAGGTGTCTGATATGATCCAATCATCTTTTGTGATGTGGGGAATTGGCAACACTCAATGCAGGATGGACTAAAGATTGAGCTTGTTATGAGAGACCCAGCAGCCCTACAGAATCAGGATGGACCATTCCCTCGTGACAATGTGAATCAATTATGTCCAAGAGGGGTTCTTCAAGAAACTGGAAAATAGTGAAAAGCTGCTTAAGCCCTGGTTGTTTTGTATTCTCCCTTAAAGGGAACTCTTTACTGCTTTGCAGGTTCTCTAATTTTGGAAAGGAAAAATGATTCAAAGCTTGGAATAAAATAAACTCTCGCATTGGAGAACACAAAAATAGTTCTGCTCATATGAGCACTTTTAATCAATGGAAATTCTCTCTACGAGACTTGAGAGAAAAATGACATTTGAGAAAGAACTTAAACAGCAAATTGATAAAGTTAAAGGACAATGAAAGAATATTCTTGAGTGAGTCTATGGGTGCATTATATTCCTGGAGAAACAAAACCTTCCATTTAGGAGACATAGAGAAAGTATAAATGATGGCATCAACTTGAGGGATTTACTTTAACTGGTGAAGCTTTTAGAATGAAAAGTATGACCTAGCAATTCAGGAATACTTAACAAAAATCCAACTGGCAACAACCAAGACAATCTCCTACCAGTCCCCACAAGTGCAAAGTGAATTAATCACTTTTTTTCCCTGTTGCATGTGATCTACCATCATTAACAAAATCTATTCAGCCAAATAATTTGCCATCATGTTTGACAGTACACCAGATGTATCTCACATTGATCAGAAGTTCTACCTTATCTGTTATGCATCAATCAATGGTGGAAAAGTGGAAGTGAAGGAGTCATTCATCAATTTCATTACACTTGAGAGAAAGACTGCAGAAGCAACAACAAACCAAATAATCAACAAACTTGAAAAAATGGCATGGAACTACCCAATTATTATGGCCATGGATATGATAATGCACCTATGATAGCTGGAGTGCACCATGGAATCCAACAGCAAATTCTGAATGTAGCTTTGTTTCATGCAACAACCATACTTTGAACCTAGTGGGTGTATATGCTGCAAGAAGAACATCCAACACTGCAACAGTTTTCGATTAGTGGAGAGAATCTATATGTTCTTTTCATCTTCTACTTATAAATGAAGTATACTTTAGAAATCATCACAAATAGTCTCAAGCAGGTTTCTCATAAGCAATGGAGAGCAAAGCATGATGCCTTTGCTGCCATGAAGTCCAGTGTAGAGGAGTTGGTTGAAGTGCTTGAAGAACTCAGAGATGAAGTCATTGAGAACTTGGATACCAAAGGCGGTGCTGGTACTATTCTTAATGGCATCATGTCACACAGATTCATTGCATATCTGTATTATTGGAACACTGTGCTAAAGCAAATCAATAACTCCCAGAAAAATCTACAAGAACATGGTCTTTGGTTGGATCAATGTGCAGCAAAAATGAATGCTTTCTCATTACTCTCTGATGAAGAAAGGGACCTCTTGGCTACCAAGGCTCAAACTAAAGACACTGTGTTCTGTAATGAACATCCCAACTGAGTGCTGAGAAAAGAAGTATCAGAATATGGTAGAAGAGTCGAAGGACCATGGTCTGAATCTACAAGAAAACAACAGAAGGGAGCAGCTAGAGGTGGTTGACCAAACTTAAAAGTGAAATCAATAGGCAACCATGACATCTCAAAGACTTAAACCCCTGCTTCAGATTTATTAAATTGCAATATCTCTTCAACATTAAAAACAATCAAGAAATCAACAACAAAATAAATTCCCTATGTACGATCTATATTGAGTTGAATGCCATCAATTTCCAGGAAGAGATCCAACGGTTCCACCAGAATATCAAAAGCTTCAAGAACATCACAGGGAATTATATGACAGATTGAGACATGCTGGATTTACTGAAACTGATCGTGAAGTGGTCCTACATTGAATACTTGCCAGACTTTTCGGTTGTGCTGCTCACATTTGTCACAATATGTGTGTCATAACAAGCTGGAAGCAAAGCTTTTCCAAACTCAAACTCATGAAAATTTGTCGAAGGTCTACCATGAGTCAGGTAAGCTTCAACAATTTGGCCAACCTTTCCATTGAAAGGGAAGTTAAAGAAAAATCAACTATGATGACATAAATCACAATTTTGCCATACTGAAGACCAGAAAAGTACATATCTGAGACCTGTTAGACATGTTATTGACTGATATTGGCAAGACTGGTGTACAATGTAGTTTGCATTAACTACAGACTGTCTGTTAATTCATCTGTTATAATGTATCCATCTACCAGTTTAATTATGAATCGAAGGCTCTATAAAATGTAAAAACTTTGTGTTACTTAAAGGGTTGACTTTAAAAATATTATTAATTAATTAATGTGATATTCCTTTTGAAAGTCCATGCATTATTACACAAATTTTATTCTTTTTACCCTTAGAAGCAGTGTCCATTCCATTGAATAGGAAATGGAGCAGAGAAAGTGGCACTTTTACCTTCTGCCCAAGGTGAAAGCTTGTCTCACTACACCACTGGCTTCATTAAATAAGAAAATTAGACTTGGATGACACAATAGTACTAGATATCATTATTATTTAAAAATTTGAATAAATTAATACAGTACTAATTCCAGGTTGGTAAGACTACATAAATATTGCTGAAGCAACTGATTTTTATCTCCTGATAATTAGAGAAACATATGCAATGCATTTTTTTTTTGTCTACAAGCTTTAAATACATATCTTTATGCTCTGAAGTATGTGTGGGAAAAGCTTGTAAAAGTCCACAAGAAACAGTTTGTTTTTATGTTGATTAAGAGAGTACAGTTTTAACAGTGTTGAGGAAAAGTGAGGATTAGTATGTATTATTTTTATACTAGAGTGTGCATCTATCGTATAGAATTAGGTTAACTAACAGACAGAATTTAAACATTGGGTCATATGTCAAAGTTTATTGTGAAATAACTTCAAACTATTAATTCCAATAACTGGTATACTGTACCATTTTCCTGGGCAAATCGACTGGCTTCAAGAAATGTAACCTCTCTATCACCTTCCAGGTCTTTTTTGTTTCCTACTAGAAGAATGGCAATGTTAGGGCTAGCAAGAGTTCTGGCATCTGTCAACCAGTTTGTCAAGGCATTATAGGTTTCTCGACTGGCACATATAATACATGAAAATTAAGATCAAGAGTTACTGGTTTGTATTAATGTTTTAAACTATATTATAGGTAAACAAGACTAATGATTTAGGTCCAAATTGATAAACAGTTCTATTTATTTTGAAGTTTGGAGTGAGCCCAGGTAGCTATTACAAACAGTTTATAATAGGCATGTTCCATGTTAAAGTAATTCAATTACACATATACAGTATCATGTTTCAATCACAGAAGATCATGAATATTTTCACCTTATTATAATGGTGTAGAACTTTAACCATTTTTACCATTATAGATGGCAACATAATGCCTGCAAGTAAGTGATTTCTATATGTTCTGACAGTCATTCAAGACATAAAATTTAGTTTGTTTTTTACTTATCATTAACACTAAACAACTCACTCTGTTGCATTACCTTTCATTCTAGTATATATTGAAGTGCATCAAATTTACATAGTCAAAAAATTTTATTTTGTTATTACTAATCGGCAGAGTGTGCAATAGTTGCCTTTTATTATAAGAATTAACCTTATGCAGTATGAAACTCCTCCAATTAGATCTTCAACTGCCGCAAGCAAACCAAATTTTGAGATAAAAAAGTATCATCTCTCCACCAAATGAAATAATTAATCAGTGACTTGTTTGGATTATTTTGCTAATATTGCACTTTCTACATCGTAATCCCAAAATCCTAAAATAAATAAACAAATTAGAACACCACTTCCAACGGTAGCGAGAGAAGCTGACAGGTACTGTATTTCGGACAGAGCTGCTGCAGCCCTTACCTCAGCTGTTTTGGAAGATATGGGCATTATTCAAGAAAATGACAATACTAAAATTGTTGGTAAAAACAAGATACGACATGAACAAAAAAATACAGAGAAAAATTATTGACTTCTGCTGAATCAAATTGTATTAAATCTATCTACTTTGATAATAAAAAAGATATAACTAAAATCATCATCATTAAAAATGGGCAAAAACATTAAAAATGTGTAGTCATGGAACAGCACATAACTTTGGTCAGTGAACCTGAATCAATTTTCATGGATCACATTTCTCCTTCTTCCAGAACATCAGAAGGTATAAAAAATTCTATAAGTCAGTGGTTTGAAGATAACAAAATTTCATCTGATTGTTTTGTACCTGTAGGCTGTGACAGCACATATGTCAATACTGGAAAAAAGCTGGAGTTATGCAGCTTCTTGAATTGCACTCAGGAAGACCTGTTCATTGGTTAATTTGTTTGTTAGATGCAAATAAGTTACACCTGTATCATCTAATTACGCATCTTGACGGAGTAACTCTGAGACCGTCCGCTTTTTCTGGTCATCTTGGAAAGAAACTGAAGACTTGTGAATCACTGCCTTCAGTATACTTTTTTTCAGTCAAAATTACAGAACCATTACCAAAAATTGACCATCCTGAGGATCTTAGTACAGATAAAACGGTACTTTTTATTTACATCTTTTGTGTGACTCGTATGTTACCACAAACCCCTAAATTCAACAGTAATGGACTCACAAACACTTTTGTGCCAATATAACTAAAAATGTGTTTAAAAAGTTAGTAGATTCATATGCAATATTTAAAAAGCCAATGGGTTCATAAGGACACTACTAATAATTCTACAGGATACAGTGTTAAGGGTTTTTTGTAAAATCATAATTAACTTGAAAGTCATGATTTATCTAGTTTAACACATAAAATCCTAATTGACTCAAATAAGAATTTCATCTTTAAGATTCAAATGTTTGTGATACACCTAAGTGAGTATTATTTAAATAGTAATTAAAAAATTAACTTTTTTTTTTTAAGGATCATAAACCATATTTTACATAAATAAATACAAACAGCACAACATTTAGACAAGAGTTTAAGTTGTTCTGTTAACTAATGGGCAATTGAAACAGCTCATTTGGGTAAATTTAATTAAAACACAAATGTCTTGAAGTTAACTTGACATCATCATGAATTGATAACTCTAATTATAAAACCCAATTTGGTCAAATATTATGATAGTAGGTAATGTATACAGTAAAAGTACAGTTAAAATCAGAAAGTACATATGACCAATAGAGAGTATAGAGTGTAGACACTAAGAGTAGTTTAAGTCACTGAATACAAAGGAAAGACATTTAAATTACATTTCTTATTAGAGAATATTAAACATAGCCTAAGTTCATAACACACAAGGAATAATACTAAGAATATAGTTTAAGTCAAAGAGTATAAGGAAAAAGTTTGATAAACCAGTATAAATCAGATAGCAGGGAAGCTAATTTAAGAGTTTCTCAGTTCAATACACAATACAATAGAGCTAGTTTTGACGATTCATCTTTGCACATAAACATAAAACTATATGAACATGTATCAACCATTAACCCTTTCCAGACTAGAGGGGTGACATTGATATCCCTTGATTTTTTCTCCTCGAAGTGAAAATACTTGACCAAAATGCATGAAATGTGTAACAAACTAACTAAGTATTATCTAGTTTTGACATAAAGAACTTTAAGTAATTTGTAGTTTCCAAAATTATAAGAAACCCTTTTGATGTTGAATAGAATTTAAAGTTTTTAACACTCATAAGAAATTTCCATCTTATACATCCAATCAGTTCAAACTTGATTGATATTTATTAACATATTTTGATGATTGTAATAGTTGGCACTTCTGGCTATAAATATTAAAAAACAAACAGATATATATTTTTGCTAACTGTACTTTTAGTCAAGATCAATTTATATCAAATAAATATAGTTTATTTTCAATGAACTGTAAGTTACTTTATTTAGGAGCATTATTTAGATATGATAAACTTTAAAAAGATATTCAATAAATATGGATTTGAGTCAATGGAATATTTTTTTATTACCTAAAGTACTCTTAAACCTAACTATGCTTATCTGATCTCTTGTCATTGAAAAAAACTTTAGTGGCTTCCAATATCTACAAAAATTATAACAAATTCCCAGATTTGTGGTTTGTTCCTAAGTCTTCTAAGCTTTCCAGTAGATTCCATTGTTCTTCTCTGCAGAAACTACATATAATCATTTTCCCACAAAACCATAAATTGCTCATCACACCACTTCTTCACTCTACACTGATGTAAAATGGATTATAATCTGCTCTATCACATGGTACTTAAACTTTGCTTGTAGCTATTTTTAAAGCTGAGATTCATTAGTAATTGTTCAGACCACATGCTGTGACATCATAAAAGGGTGGGAACAAGGCCTTATAGTAATAACACCACACACATAGATTGAAAATCATGAGAGGAAACAAAAGTTAACTAATTCTATTCACAAGGAATGGTAGTTTCTTAGCAAATAAAAACCTATGCTTTGGGACAGATAAAGAAATTCTAAAAACTGATAAATGTGGTGTTTACAGGCACAACTCCTTGGAACTGTCAAGAAATTTAAGACTGAACATGTTTAAAACTTTTCTTTGTGAACTATACTAAATTAAATTTGATGACAAGGAACCCACTTTGAGATAATAATGCTTGGAGATGGCTTGAATGGGTAATGAAGAAAAACTTTAATACAAGTTTAACATAACAGCAATAAGCAGATGTGCAAATTAATTAATTTTTTGAGGTGCAAACTGTATACCTAGCTCTGCCCTTGGTGAAAGCCCGACAAACCCAGTGAAAGTGAACTCTCAGTCCATAATGGACTTTCTTTTTGAAGCTCTTGTAATTCACTTTAAATGTCTTATCTTAAACGTTTTACAGGCTATTTTAAAGAGACTGCATTCCACCATCTTTTTTCTCTTGAAAATGCAGAAAACACACACAAGTTTGCTAAAAATTAGCAAAATCTCTGTAAGGATTTTCAGTAGCCTTCAAGAAAATTGTTATAAAAAAAAGAGAAGTGGATTGGAAATGAGAAGGTGTAGCAGTCGAGCCGAAAAACTCGGAAAAAATGACAAAGCAGTTGCATTACTTCTTATTCAAAGCAGCCCATTTCAGAGTAGAAATGTGGTTAAGACTTCTACTGTCTGAATTTAATAATAATCTTGAATTCTGCTTCAACAGAAAACTATATTTTGCATCAAGAAGTAAGAAATATCCTAAAAAAAGTTATTCATGAATTACTTCTCTAATTCAGGCTTAACTCTTTCAGCGCTGGTTCGGTCCCTGGGACCGACCTAATAACCATTTTGTGCTTGTTATAGTCTTCATGTTATAGCTTTTAAATTACTAACATGCAAAGTAATTTTCATTTTAAGATTAAAAATACTTTCATGCATCAGAAAATTTTCAAAATTTCAAATTTCTTAAGAAAAACTATATATTTTATCTGTTATTTTCAATAATGAATCTTTATACAGGTTCGGTAGATTTGACTATCTCGGAACCAAAATAAAAAATTAAGAAATAGATATAAATTGTGCCTCTTTCATTCTAGAATGAACACAAATTATAACACAAAAACATAAGTGTTTAGACTAAATAGCTTAAATATCATAACATTGTACATTTAAATATATATATTTTTGTTATATTGACCTTTCAGCCATGCCTGTCTAACAATACAGAAGTTACAATGATGCAGCACACGTACACTCATGTTACCGTATCCAATAACATAAAACTGACCTTTGGTCTGTACAAAGTAGCTTGTCTCGGCTGTGTTTTAGTAGACTAGTATTTTGTAAAATAGTCACATTTCAATTATTATACATTATTGATATTTTGAAATAAGTTCTTAAACATATTTTTCATAAAACATAGAATGGTAAATAAAGAAGTAAAGCAAACAATTATCTCTTCTAGTGACGACCTTTGTACTCGGTTGCTCGTTTATGTAGGTTTCTTAGCCTTTAAAAATTTTACATGTGGAAGATATGAAACAAAATATTTTTTTTTGGAGGGAGTCGGGTTATATATACATTTGAATAACTAAAAAATTATGAATTACTACATTAATACCATAGAATTCCACTATAATTTATAAAGCTTAGTAACTAAGATGTATTTTAGTCTAAAACATTATGAAATTT